CCAGACACTTCCGATCCCCAGCAACATGAGCACCCCTACAATTGAAACACACACAAATGTATCCTCCGAACCTTCACAATCCTCTGTCCCATGGCCTCCTTCACACATCTTGGAATCTCCCTCATACACACTGCTGCAACATGACCATAAACCTTGCACCTGAAACGGCGCAGTGGATTCTGCACAAAAGCTCTAACAGGATAACTGATATATCCTGACATGACTTTGTCTGGTAGAGACTCTGACTCAAAAGGACTGACAATGACTCCTCTGTTTCACCATGCTACCCACCGGGTCTGCGTCGCACCAGATGGTGGGCATCACAAACACCAGGAATTTTCTACTTAAATTGCTCCACACTTAACTCTACCCCAGAAATCACTCCTTTCAATGGTGCACTATTCCGTGCCACACTGATTCATGACAGGTGTGGGTATTTAAAGGTGGTGAATGAGCTAAAGTCCCACTTCTACTGGAGGGGGTTGGACAGGGTATGGTGGTTGGTGATAGGGTGAGGAGACAGTCGGTCAGGGTAGGGGCAATTCGACCACAGCCGCCCCAAATATGGCAACACATTTCCCTCCTCTAAGAATTGCCATTTCCATCCTCATCCTCCCTGACTTGGTCAAGATCCAGATTCCCAGATGCTATAGCCCCAGTGAACATCCCACAGATTCACTTTCCAGAGAGTTGCATGTGTTCTGTGATGCTTCAGAGCAGGCTTATGAGTCAGTGGCATACCTCAGGATGGAAACCCAGCAGGCACAAGTCCACGTCTCCTTTGTCATGGCTCGCTCAAGAGTAGCTCCTAAACGTCCTCTCGCCGTTCCCCACCTTGAACTGTGCGCTGCCCTTACAGGTGCCCAGCTGGCCAAGCTGTTACAGACCGAGATCACCTTACCTGTGGACAGGACAGTTCTGTGGTCAGACTCCACTACAGTGTTGACTTGGTTGCACTTAGAATCCTGTTGATCCAAGGTCTTTGTTGCCAACCATGTAACTGAAATCCTGGACCTCAGGACTGGAGGTATGTCGACACACAGAACAACCCAGCAGATGACATCACCAGAGGAAAGAGTCCGGCTGAGTTGTCGGCTCCCTTCCCAGAAGACCTCCATTTGCTGTAAAGTGGTAAAGTGGTCCCTTTGAAAAGCCGCCTCCAAAACCTCTCTCCTGAATTGGACAAGTCTACAGATCTCATTCGAGTTGGGGGCAGGCTCCGGAGAGCTGAGATTCTCGAACCAGACTCGGTGCACCCAGCAGTGCTGGATCCGAAGAACCCAATCACTCGGCTCATCAAACACTATAATGACAAGCTTCTCCATCCTGGTACCGATAGGGAGTTTGCTGACATCCACTTCCATTTCTGGGTTCTGAAGGGACATCCACAAAATATCTGTAGCCATAAACAATATTCATACACTTTCACAATAATTACCCATAATCATAATTAATCATGAAATATTCCATGATGCTTAGTTATTTTAGCACAGGTTTTCCTTTATTTCAAAATCAACATATGGGCAAAGACTAATCCATACACAGCCATCATCACTAACACGTGACATAGACAATACAAAATAAATATACATCAACATCTCCATTCACTTTGTTCTTCATTTTCAAATAAATATTAAATACGTTCATTACGTTTTTTCCTAGTTCATTGCAAGGTGTCTCAAAATACTTTATGGAAATAAAATAAATAATATAAACAAAAGCAAACTCTTAAAAAAATTATCAAAACTTGTCGGTTACAAAATATTTGCACTTAAAAAAGATCCCAGTATTTCAAATAAATAAGATATATAAAACAATTTATAGTTAATATTTTAAAATATTTCCTATTTTTCAACAATGCAGAGGATAAACAATTCCTCTCAGTCGCTGTTTAAAAATGTCTTCAGTGTCATTTTTTTTGTAAAAATAAATAAATAGGTCAATAAATAAATGCTGAATAAATAAGCAAAATTAACAACATGAATAAATAATATATTAAACAGACATTTCTAAGACTCAAATTCATACACATCGATAATAATGAAACTACAAACTATTCCTGGAAGTGCAATATCTATGCCCATAAATACTATCAACATTACTCAATAGGGTTGGAACACATGTACACTATTTTGGAGAGTATGTAGTCCCGTGTAGCTCAGTTAGTAGAGCATGGCGCTTGCAACGCCAGGGTTGTGGGTTTGATTCCCACGGGGGGCCAGTATGAAAAAATGTATGCACTCACTAACTGTAAGTCGCTGGATAAGAGCGTCTACTAAATGACGTAAATGTAAAATGTATGTTATGATGGGGTGTTGGAGCCAGTATACTGCATTCTTAGTCTGTTCTGTACAATTAAAGTGGATGTCTTTTTTTATTATACCCCTCAAAAGGTTCCCAAACACCCGCACAAACACAGTTTTACTCCAATGCACTCAAAAACACTCAAGACTTAATTGAAACTTCCGTACTCATCCATACACAAGTGTGTCCATTGATCCTGATAACCTTCATGCAAACAGGGAGGGGAGCAACGTGAAATGGACAACATATTTTCTCCAAAACAAATAAGAGAAAAACCAAGTATACAGTGTGGAAAAAAAGTATTTAGTCAGCCACCAATTGTGCAAGTTCTCCAGAAAATCACATTGTAGGATTTTTTATGAATTTATTTGCAAATTATGGTGGAAAATAAGTATTTGGTCACCTACAAACAAGCAAGATTTCTGGCTCTCACAGACCTGTAACGTCTTCTTTAAGAGGCTCCTCTGTCCTCCACTTGTTACCTGTATTAATGGCACCTGTTTGAACTTGTTATCAGTATAAAAGACACCTGTCCACAACCTCAAACAGTCACACTCCAAACTCCACTATGGCCAAGACCAAAGAGCTGTCAAAGGACACCAGAAACAAAATTGTAGATCTGCACCAGGCTGGGAAGACTGAATCTGCAATAGGTAAGCAGCTTGGATTGAAGAAATCAACTGTGGGAGCAATTATTAGGAAATGGAAGACATACAAGACCACTGATAATCTCCCTAGATCTGGGGCTCCACGCAAGATCTCACCCCGTGGGGTCAAAATGATCACAAGAACGGTGAGCAAAAATCCCAGAACCACACGGGGGGACCTAGTGAATGACCTGCAGAGAGCTGGGACCAAAGTAACAAAGCCTACCATCAGTAACACACTACGCCGCCAGGGACTCAAATCCTGCAGTGCCAGACGTGTCCCCCTGCTTAAGCCAGTACATGTCCAGGCCCGTCTGAAGTTTGCTAGAGTGCATTTGGATGATCCAGAAGAGGATTGGGAGAATGTCATATGGTCAGATGAAACCAAAATAGAACTTTTTGGTAAAAACTCAACTTGTCGTGTTTGGAGGACAAAGAATGCTGAGTTGCATCCAAAGAACACCATACCTACTGTGAAGCATGGGGGTGGAAACATCATGCTTTGGGGCTGTTTTTCTGCAAAGGGACCAGGACGACTGATCCGTGTAAAGGAAAGAATGAATGGGGCCATGTATCGTGAGATTTTGAGTGAAAACCTCCTTCCATCAGCAAGGGCATTGAAGATGAAACATGGCTGGGTCTTTCAGCATGACAATGATCCCAAACACACCGCCCGGGCAACGAAGGAGTGGCTTCGTAAGAAGCATTTCAAGGTCCTGGAGTGGCCTAGCCAGTCTCCAGATCTCAACCCCATAGAAAATCTTTGGAGGGAGTTGAAAGTCTGTGTTGCCCAGCGACAGCCCCAAAACATCACTGCTCTAGAGGAGATCTGCGTGGAGGAATGGGCCAAAATACCAGCAACAGTGTGTGAAAACCTTGTGAAGACTTTTTATTTATTTATTTTTATTTATTTTTTGGGGGGGGGAATGGATCAGCTTAATATTGCAGATAGATTGTATCTTCTATCAATGTAATTGTCTGCATCACTTCCAATCCCCCATGTTTTTTTTATTTTTTATATATATATACTCCCCTTTATTACTTTTCAACCCCACCATCCTTTCCCTACTTGGAGTAAATTAGTGAACAACAATGCCCAGGCCTCTACTTCTGGTCTATACTTACTATCTACACCTTATGGACAGAGTTAATTTTACAATAATTCTATTATATATATATATATATATATATATATTTATTTTTTTTGCTCCTGAACTTCTTCTACTCTCAACCTCTCCGATCATTTTCATGGTGTCCATCCGGTTTGCTTCTATATGGCATATCTTTCTAACTGTGCTCCTTCCCAAAAGCTCCCAACATACAACCTATATACTTATTATGGACACAGTATGCTTACATTATTAGCTATCTTTGTTATTATTTGTTGTTATTTGTTTTTAGTCCCATCCTTCAACTCTATTCAATACCTCCCATCTATCTCTTAACACCATCCATATAGGATTTCTATTTGCCATATATATTTCAACCGTACTGTGATGTTTTACAAAAATTCTGAACCTTTCTATTCTCATTGCTTCTACAGATTGTGAATTAAAAATAAACATTTTTGCTAAAAGTATTATTATATTATTGATTGATTGACTATGACTTTTCAGATCACCCAGTGAACCTTGTGAAGACTTACAGAAAACGTTTGACCTGTGTCATTGCCAACAAAGGGTATATAACAAAGTATTGAGAAACTTTTGTTGTTGACCAAATACTTATTTTCCACCATAATTTGCAAATAAATTCATTAAAAATCCTACTGGAAATCCTTCTGGATTTTTTTTTCTAATTTTGTCTGTCATAGTTGACGTGTACCTATGATGAAAATTACAGGCCTCTCTCATCTTTTTAAGTGGGAGAACTTGCACAATTGGTGGCTGACTAAATACTTTTTTTCCCCACTGTATATCCCAAAACCAAGGGATGATTATTTATGGTTGTTGGGTTTTGTATTCCCACACAACATGTCACCCTGTCTCCTCTTCTACCTCTCTCTTTCATATGTTCCATTATGCCTCACCACTCTTTTAGAGACTACACTTCAATGCCTTTTACTGCTTGGTTGATGGACTCCAACAGAGCGCGGTTCTCCGGATTTTGGTAGCAATCTTTATTGGAAAACATATGGGTCAATGTGTCCACGTAGGTATCGAAGTTCAGGTCCGACATAGGCTCCTGCTGAAGTAAACACATGTAATGCGTTAGAGACAAGCTGTATGCGTTAATTTGTGAGCGAGTGCCGGTGCATTTGTGGAGAGTGCCGGTGCATATACAGGGCATCGTTCCTCTCCTCAATCTGCTTGTTCTCCTCCTCCATACTCTTCAGGTTCTTCTCCATGGACGAGATCTGGAGCAGAGAACCACAAATCAATCAACCACCGTTCTTCAGTCAGCCACAAACCAGTCAGAAACACTCTATACAATTCATTTTTGATTTCGAATTGAATTAGGAACGTACAGTCGGGACAGTATTTAGTGGGTATTGTTAACAAGTGGCAAACTCACCTGTGTGTGCAGGTTCATCATGTCATCCTCCATCTCTGAGTTGGACTCACTCAGTTCCCCGATCTCTTTGTTCAGCTGCTTGATATCTTCATCATTATCCAGAACTGGGGAAATTAAGCAACCAGTAACAACCAATGGTTGATGGACTCCAACAGTCAAACATTACATTTAAGTCATTTAGCAGACGCTCTTATCCAGAGCGACTTACAGGAGTAATTAGGGTTAAGTGCCTTGCTCAAGGGCACATCGACAGATTTTTCACCTAGTCGGCTTGGGGATTAGAACCAGCGACCTTTCGATTACTGGCATAATGCTCGTCACGCTCGTCGGGAACAGAGGAGGACCAAGGCGCAGCGTTGAATGCGAACATATTTATTTATATAATGATCACACGATCAAAAACAACAAAACGATGACGTGACAGTCAATGGTCAAACACAAACCAACACGAACAAGAAACCACAATGAATGAATGCCTAACGGCTACCTAAGTATGACTCCCAATCAGAGACAACGAGCTACAGCCGTCTCCGATTGGGAGCCACCCTGGCCAACATAGATAAACAACAACTAGAACCAACACACATGAAAACTCACACCCTGGCTCAACATACTAGAGTCCCCAGATTCAGGGCGTGACAGCTCTTAACCACTAAGCTACCTGCCGCAAACATAATTGAAGATCATCTAGTTTTACTGATGTGTTGTTGACTTGATCCACTCATCATGTTGGGACAAATCCTAACTTCCACTGAAATCAATGCAAGACTAAGTGGAAATTACGATTTGCCCCGTTATGTACAAACTGTCAGATGAAACATTTAAGTTACTGTACAGTGGGGGAAAAAAGTATTTAGTCAGCCACCAATTGTGCAAGTTCCTCCCACTTAAAAAGATGAGAGAGGCCTGTAATTTTCATCATAGGTACACGTCAACTATGACAGACAAAATGAGGAAAAGAAATCCAGAAAATCACATTGTAGGATTTTTAATGAATTTATTTGCAAATTATGGTGGAAAATAAGTATTTGGTCAATAACAAAAGTTTCTCAATACTTTGTTATATACCCTTTGTTGGCAATGACACAGGTCAAACGTTTTCTGTAAGTCTTCACAAGGTGTTCACACACTGTTGCTGGTATTTTGGCCCATTCCTCCATGCAGATCTCCTCTAGAGCAGTGATGTTTTGGGGCTGTCGCTGGGCAACACAGACTTTCAACTCCCTCCAAAGATTTTCTATGGGGTTGAGATCTGGAGACTGGCTTGGCCACTCCAGGACCTTGAAATGCTTCTTACGAAGCCACTCCTTCGTTGCCCGGGCGATGTGTTTGGGATCATTGTCATGCTGAAAGACCCAGCCACGTTTCATCTTCAATGCCCTTGCTGATGGAAGGAGGTTTTCACTCAAAATCTCACGATACATGGCCCCATTCATTCTTTCCTTTACACGGATCAGTCGTCCTGGTCCCTTTGCAGAAAAACAGCCCCAAAGCATGATATTTACACCCCCATGCTTCACAGTAGGTATGGTGTTCTTTGGATGCAACTCAGCATTCTTTGTCCTCCAAACACGACGAGTTGAGTTTTTACCAAAAAGTTCTATTTTGGTTTCATCTGACCATATGACATTCTCCCAATCCTCTTCTGGATCATCCAAATGCACTCTAGCAAACTTCAGACGGGCCTGGACATGTACTGGCTTAAGCAGGGGGACACGTCTGGCAGTGCAGGATTTGAGTCCCTGGTGGCGTAGTGTGTTACTGATGGTAGGCTTTGTTACTTTGGTCCCAGCTCTCTACAGGTCATTCACTAGGTCCCCCCGTGTGGTTCTGGGATTTTTGCTCACCGTTCTTGTGATCATTTTGACCCCACGGGGTGAGATCTTGCGTGGAGCCCCAGATCGAGGGAGATTATCAGTGGTTTTGTATGTCTTCCATTTCCTAATAATTGCTCCCACAGTTGATTTCTTCAAACCAAGCTGCTTACCTATTGCAGATTCAGTCTTCCCAGCCTGGTGCAGGTCTACAATTTTGTTTCTGGTGTCCTTTGACAGCTCTTTGGTCTTGGCCATAGTGGAGTTTGGAGTGTGACTGTTTGAGGTTGTGGACAGGTGTCTTTTATATTGATAACAAGTTCAAACAGGTGCCATTAATACAGGTACCGAGTGGAGGACAGAGGAGCCTCTTAAAGAAGAAGTTACAGGTCTGTGAGAGCCAGAAATCTTGCTTGTTTGTAGGTGACCAAATACTTATTTTCCACCATAATTTGCAAATAAATTCATAAAAAATCCTACAATGTGATTTTCTGGATTTTTCTCTCTCAATTTGTCTGTCATAGTTGACGTGTACCTATGATGAAAATTACAAGCCTCTCTCATCTTTTTAAGTGGGAGAACTTGCACAATTGGTGGCTGACTAAATACTTTTTTTCCCCACTGTATATCCCCAGACTTACCATCGCTGGCCTTGAACTTTGCTGTAATGTACTCATCTCCAGGGAACCTGGTTCTCTTCTTATTAGCAGAGGCTCTGGGACAACCAGAGAGACTGGGAACAACAGAAGAGGAAAAGAGAGATGAGGCTAGTGATGGAGTGCTGCTAGAATAGGGCCAAACTAATTTAGTTAGTTTATTTTAATATGCCATCAGTTTTTTTGTCTTTATACAATATGTTTTGCTGTGCTTTAAAAACCTGACTAGATGTAAAAATCTATCAAATAACCTATAATATGTTAATAAAATAGTTTTTGTAAAGTGTTTGTACGAATCCCCCCAAAAACAATTGAATTTGAATGAGTGTAATACCTGCGGTGTGTGAGGAAGCTGCCGTTGGCGTGTCCTGATCCGTCACAGCCGGGGGTGGGACAAGTGGGGCCCTCTGTCTTAAAGGCCTTCCAGGAGAAAGGAGAACCGTTGAGGAGCCCCTCCTTCTGACGCCGCGCTGCCAGGGGGCACCCGTAGGCACTACGGTGGGTGGCATACTTCCCACTGATGTGGCCCAGGCTGTCACAGCCGGGCACCGGGCATCTACTAATGGAGTGGGGAAAGCCAGGGACAACAAGGAAGGAGAGGGGAAAGAGAGAGAGAGAGACAAAAGGAAAGCAATCAGTATCAGTTTGAAAGCTAGAGGGCCGAATAAAGGGCGATCCGTTGTGTGGATGGAAAAGAAAAGGAATTGTTGGTTGTGTACCAACCTTAAAAGCTCAGAGTCTTCCTTGTCATCCTTGGTGGGTGTTGTCTTGACAGCACCTTTCTTAGCACGAGGGCATCCAGACAAACTGACAGACGTAGAGAGAAAAATAAGGATTTGCATACAGTCCTTTTTAGATTATCCTCCAGTTAGATTTTCTAAGATTAAATAAAAATAGAAACAAAAGCGATAAATGATCTGTGCATACAGTGGCTTGCGAAAGTATTCACCCCCCTTGGCATTTTTCCTATTTTGTTGCCTTACAACCTGGAATTAAAATTGATTTTGGGGGGGGGGTTGTATCATTTGATTTACACAACATGCCTACCACTTTGTAGATGATTATTTTATTTTTTTTGTGAAACAAACAAGAAAAAAAAAATGAACAAAAATTACTTAAGCGTGCATAACTACTCACCCCCCTCAAAGTCAATACTTTGTAGAGCCACATTTTGCAGCAATTACAGCTGCAAGTATCTTGGGGTATGTCTCTATAAGCTTGGCACATCTAGCCACTGGGATTGTTGCCCATTCCTCAAGGCAAAACTGCTCCAGCTCCTTCAATTTGGATGGGTTCCGCTGGTGTACAGCAATCTTTAAGTCATACCACAGATTCTCAATTGGATTGAGGTCTGGGCTTTGACTAGGCCATTCCAAGACATTTAAATGTTTCCCCTTAAACCACTCGAGTGTTGCTTTAGCAGTATGCTTAGGATCATTGTCCTGCTGGAAGGTAAACCTCCGTCCCAGTCTCATATCTCTGGAAGACTGAAACAGGTTTCCCTCAAGAATGTCCCTGTATTTAGCGCCATCCATCATTCCTTCAACTCTGACCAGTTTCCCAGTCCCTGCCGATGAAAAACATCCCCACAGCATGATGCTGCCTCCACCATGCTTCACTGTTGGGATGGTGTTCTCGGGGTGATGAGAGGTGTTGGGTTTGCGCCAGATGTAGCGTTTTCCTTGATGGCCAAAAAGCTTGATTTTAGTCTCATCTGACCAGAGTACCTTCTTCCATATGTTTGGGGAGTCTCCCGCATGCCTTTTGGCGGACACCAAACGTGTTTGCTTATTTTTTTCTTTAAGCAATGCCTTTTTTCTGGCCACTCTTCCGTAAAGCCCAGCTCTGTGGAGTGTATGGCTTAAAGTGGTCCTATGGACAGATATTCCAATCTCCGCTGTGGAGTTTTGCAGCTCCTTCAGGGTTATCTTTGGTCTCTTTGTTGCCTCTCTGATTAATGCCCTCCTTGCCTGGTCCGTGAGTTTTGGTGGTTGGCCCTCTCTTGGCAGGTTTGTTGTGGTGCCATATTCTTTCCATTTTTTAATAATGGATTTAATGGTGCTCCGTGGGATGTTCAAAAATTCAGATATTGTTTTATAACCCAACCCTGATCTGTACTTCTCCACAACTTTGTCCCTGACCTGTTTGGAGAGCTCCTTGGTCTTCATGGTGCCACTTACTTGGTGGTGCCCCTTGCTTAGTGGTGTTGCAGACTCTGGGGCCTTTCAGAACAGGTGTATATATACTGAGATCATGTGACAGATCATGTGACACTTAGATTGCACACAGATGGAATTTATTTAACTCATTATGTGACTTCTGAACGTAATTGGTTGCACCAGATCTTATTTAGGGGCTTCATAGCAAAGGGGCTGAATACATATGCACGCACCACTTTTTTTCGTTATTTATTTTTTATAATTTTTTGAAACAAGTTATTTTTTTCATTTCACTTCACCAATTTGGACTATTTTGTGTATGTCCATTGCATGAAATCCAAATAAATATAAATTTAAATAACAGGTTGTAATGCAACAAAATAGGAAAAATGCAAAGGGGGATGAATACTTTTGCAAGGCACTGTACCTTCTATGGGAGGCGTAGTTTCCAGTGATGTGACCTGATCCATCGCATCCAGGGGTCGGACACCTGGGAGTCAACCAGAGAGAAGTCAGGTCAGGTCAGCATAGCACTGCATGAGATATTCATATGTATTGCAAATGTAGAGGTGATATGAAAGCGCTTTGTCATAAAGGTAGCTAACACTTTCTCTATGGGATAGCAATTTGTTTGATACAGAGGGAAAACACATCCCCGCACATTGTAGTGACAATACAAAGGGTTCAGTCATGTCAGTATAAAGTAGGGTTAGAACAGGGATAGGAAACTCTGGTCAAGGAGGGCCGCAGTGTGTGAAGGTTTTTATTCCAGCCCAGCACTAACACACCTAATTAAAATCCTTGAAGTCAGACAACAATTAGGTTTGTAGGTGTGTTGGAGCTGAACTGGAACCAATGCCTGCACACATGCCTGGGTTAGAAGGAAGGAAGGAAGGGGGAATACAAGCACAGACATACTTCAGTTCAGCAGAGTGGGCAGCCATGAGGGTCCGAAGAGACTTATCAGCAAGAGGACAGCCTGACAGACTGGAAGATATGGAAAATATATATATAGAGAGAGGATATTGTGTAGTCATTTAATAAGGGCAGAATAAAGGAAAGGCCTCGATCATTAATCATAACAATGAATACTGTTTACAGGACTCATAGTAGCACAATAGAGTATAGTAATTATTGAAAGTTCAGGATTTTTTATGCAGATTTGTAAATTAGTTGACATTCAGTATCAGTTCCTGAAAAACACTATAAATGCAGTTGTATGCAGTTGTAAGATGTACAATTTGAAACAGTGCCACCGACTGCATTGGTTGTAATGCAGGGGAGTGGGGCTGTGTCATACCTCCGATGTGACGCGTAGTTTCCAGTGATGTGCCCACTGCCATCACAACCTGGGGTGGGACATCTGAAGATAATTGGAAGTTATTGGAAATTAATTCATTGAAAACATAATGAGGGTGGATGGCAGTACTACTTTCAACTGTGTTCTTTATCATAGTGATGTGTCAGCCTTGAGATTAGAGTACTAGGTAGATAGACATAGATAGACAATTAAATATTTAAATGTAGGTTCTTTTTCACTTATAACGTTGTTATGAATGTTGGATTGAAGTTATTTTAGAGTATTCTTACAGTAGAACCTCTTTTTTGCAGTCTTTGGGCGAGAACTGGACCTTGAAGCTGGACGTGGTGACCTCGCCTGGGTACTTCCTGTCCTCCATGCACTCCTGGGTGATGTCATCATCTTCTGCATCAGAGGAGGTGTAGGAGTGGGCCACATAGTCCATCTGACAGAAGGTCAAACAAACACAGGTAAGGATGGAGATTATAGTTGATCATTTAATCCAGCCTTTATTCAAACCAGGATGTCCCATTGAGACAAAAAAGCTATTTTACAAAGAAGACCTGGCAAAGATGGCAGCTCTAGCATAACAAATCATGCATTCAGAACATAATCACACACGTCTCACCTTGCCATATTTCCAATTCTCATGCATCACTGGAAGCTGAGGCTAGAACACACACTAACTTCTCTCAAGACTATAACATTATCATAATTCCAATGGTTTGGTGTTAGTCGCAGACTTGGCATAAAGCGGTTACCTCATCCTGCTCCTCCTTCTCTTTGGGACAGTTTGGCTTGGTGAAGTCCAGAGGCCCCTCCAACTCCTCCTGCAGGTGGGCCTGGGACGAGGGAACACCTCCCGTGTGCTGCGAGGAAGAGGAGGAGGATGAAGATTGGTCTGGTGATTGCATCCCTTCCATCTTGATGGGCTTCTTCATGCTCAGGTCCAGTGTCCCATTCTCATCCACTTCAATATCTATTTCCTGAAGGTACAAGGACTATGTTACTACGTGTGTGCGTGCGTGTGCGCGGGTAGTAATGCAGTGTGTCCAATAAATACTTTCAAGAGGGAAAAATATATTCTTTATAAAGTCAACCACCAACAGGCTAGGCTGGGCTGAGCTGGGTAACAGAGAGGCCTACCTTGCCAGCTGGGTCCTGCTGTTTGGTGCTAAGGTTCTCTGGACTCTCCCAGCAGCGTGTGGACAGGTTCAGGATGGCAGTGGCAGCCATATGAGCAGCCTCGGCATCATGGGAGTAATCGTAGCCACTGGAGGACGAGGAGGAGCTGCTCTTTGCATATCCTCCCGAGAAGCTATGGCTCGGGGACGTGGCCTTAGGGAATGGTTTAGCTGTAGAGGAGAGAGAGGGTGGGTGTGTACAAATGAGAATTGACCTTCACAGTATAACACGCACCAAGCTGCCATTACAGTTGTCCTATAACCAGCAGGGTCGTGATCCTAGACTACCGACCAATTTCTCTCATGAACAATGACGTGAAAAGTAAAAGTTATGTTTTGTTAGTTAAAGGGACAGTTCACCCAAATTACAAAATGACACATTGTTTTTCTTTTTACCCTGTAAGCAGTCTATGGACAAGGTATGACAGCAATACATGCCTTAGTTTAGTTTCCCTGGCACTATTTTCATTTTGTAATTTGGGAGAACTATCCCTTTAAGCAATGGTTTCCAACAGAAATTCAACAAATGCCAAGATCATCTTACATTTGAAGGCTTTGGGTGAGGTTTGACTGGTGGAGGGCATCTTTGGAACCAGCAAAGGCTTCCCAAACACCTGGACGTCGAAGCTTGCATAGTCGAAGGAGACCTTGGAGTATTTCTCCAGCTCTTTGGCCAGGTTGGCGCGGGGCGTGGCAGGCACCATGTTGGGTCTGTAGCCGTACTGAGGGATCTCCAGCTGCTTCACAAAACACATAGGTCTGTAGGAGAGAGAGAGAGAGAGAGAGAGAGAGAGAGAGAGAGAGAGAGAGAGAGAGAGAGAGAGAGAGAGAGAGAGAGAGAGAGAGAGAGAGAGAGAGAGAGAGAGAGAGAGAGAGAGAGAGAGAGAGAGAGAGAGAGAGAGAGAGAGAGAAGAAAGGTAAGAGACAGAGGTGGTGAAACAGTCAGAACAATTTGTACAAGAGAAGGGGTAAAAGATTAGTAAAATGCAGAGATGGACAGCTATGGTAGTAAGTGGAGATATGGAGAAAGGGAGGAGCAGAGAGGGCTCACCTGAGAACTCTGTCTGAGTGGGGGCTCCCAGTTGGGGGCTCGCTGACTGAAGGCTGGGGGTGACTGGGGGTGACATGGCCCCCCTTGGAGAGTTTCTCTGCAGCTGCTATGGGACAACCGGACAGACTGAGAGGGACAAAGAGAGATAGTGAAAATGTATAGAATTCCACCACAAATAGATCCTTTTAATTGACTAACATTGTGACTAGAACTACAGCTCATCAGCTGCTAATGTCCCATATCCTCAATAATAGTATTTATTAAGTGTAGGGATAAAAGGTCAATGTCAGGTTATAATCATTGGACAGTATAATACCTGCGGTGTGTGTTGCGATTGCTGTTTACGTGACCCTGGCCTATGCATCCTGGAGTTGGACACTTCAGCACGTTCTCGTGCATGGCCAGTACTAGGGAGATGGAGGGAGAGAGAGAAAGACAGAGTATGTGTGGCAGATCTACATATTGTTCAAAGGAGTACATGTAATGTTTCCCTGTTAGAACTTTGGTATTAGCGTGTTAGTGCTCTGCTAGTACTCACTCTCAGAAACAAAAGTACAACTACAAAAAACAGTACTCACTCTCAGGTGGGATCCTGTCTTTGTGAGGGCACCCAGAGAGGCTGCGGTGGTGAGGGTACAGCCCAGTCACATGGCCCGTCCCATCACACCCAGGGGTGGGGCATTTCACCTCCTTCTTTTCTGGATGGGAAGGGGAGAGATGTTGAGTGAACAGAATCCCTAACAATTGGAAGATGAACCTATGGTGGGTTAAAAGATATCCTGATAAACCATAAACTGTCCTACCTTTGCTGTGGTGTCCTCTGTGTCGCATGGCTGGGTCCATGGCATTGCTGGCCCTGTCGTCGGGGCTGTGGTAGTGCTGGTGCTCGGGAGACTGTTGGTCGACGTGCGGCCCTCTCACCTGCTCGGCCTTCAGGGCGATGGCTTGCTCCAGCAGTCCCAAGTTCCCCCGGGTCATATCCCAGGTCTCTGAGTCATCTGTCACGCCCGAACCCTGTGAGAGACAGTCATCTTCCTCCTCCTCTTCCTCCTCCTCTTCCTCCTCCTCAGATCGTATCTCGTTGACCACTGTGGTAGGTGGGGCTTTGAGAGAGTTGTGGTCCTCTTCTTCCACCTCCCCTGCTTCTGTTTCCTCCTCTTCTTCCTCCTCCTCTTCCTCCTCTTCAGTCAACGGGGTACCAATCTTTACCTCCCCCGGTTCCACTTCTGTATCCTCACATTCCTGAGCAGGAGTACTAGAGGCAAGAGGGATGGCAGGCTCCATGTAGACCACCTCATCCTCCTCCTCCTCCTTTTCTTCCTCTACCTCCTCTTCCTCCTCTTCCTCCTCTTCCACCTCCTCCTTCTCTTCCTCCTCCTCCTTCTCTTCCTCCTCCTTTTCCTCTCCCTTCTTCTCTTCCTCTTCTTCCTCATCTCCCTCCTCTTTTGCCTGATGCCTGCTGTAGTCGCCACTGGAGTACTGGTGATCTGAGATTTCCTGACTCACACATTGCCTCTCCTCCTCTTTCTCTTCCTCCACTCCCTCCTCCTCCTCCTCCTCCTCTCCTACCTCCTCCTTTTGCTTCTCCTCACTCTCTGATCTCCCTGTTTCATCGTTGCTTTTGGGCTGCTCTATTATTCTGTGTTCATCAACTGTATCCTCATCTTCCTCCTCCTTCTCCTCCTCAGCGGCCTGTATCTCTGCCACTACTTGCACCTCCTCCTCATGTCTGTCTGCCTTTGCTTCTGCCTGCTGTTGGGTTGTGGTGGCTGTGTCCTTCTGCGGAGTCCCTGCTTTAGGTGCAGCTATGGTGTCAGACTCAACAGACGTCTCTTTTTCTGTGTTTTCAGGTACCACCTGTGAGCAATCGGCTGTGTACAGTGCAGAGTTGATAGGTTATTGCTAAATAATGAGCGGTTCCCTGTATTTGTCTTTTCATCAATACTCACTTTAGTATCATTCTCAGAAACAAAAGTACAACTCTGTACCACTGTAATAGCCAATAACAATCCATGATAAATGTGATATTTTCCTTGGATTCTGGTCTTCTCTTGACTCACCTTTCATGGACTTGGGAGGGTTTGGCGTTTTGTTATTTTCCTTCTCTTTCTGCTCCTCCTCCTCTGACTCCTCCCCCTCCTTATGCTCCGCCTCACTGGCGGCATCACTGTCTGCTGTGTTGAAGCTCTCGTCCATGGCCAACTTCAGGGGCGGGGTCTTTTTCTTGGGGGCGGGTTGATTATCTTCTGCCTCCACCTCCACAATTTTCCTCTTCTTCACTATTGGGCATCCAAGAACGCTATGGGTGCAAGGTGAGGAGATGGGTGTTAAAGTCTTACTCCAGTCTCCTTTTCACCTAATTTAACACCTGATTTACTTAACAAAAGGCACATCTCAATAGGTGGTCCAGGTATCCTCATGACATGGCACAAGTGGGGGGGATGAGCCTTTCCTCTTTTGTTCTCTATTGCTCCTCTACTGTTTCTTGAGCAAGGAGGGTGACTGATGACATCACAAAGTCACCATCAGACCAATGCCCTACTCCTTGATGTTTACAATATTTGTTTACCCTTTATTGTGTGTACTTTACTGTATTTATACTGAGGATATCGTTTTGGAACAGGTAAAGTTCAAAAATCACTGGAGAACGTATTTTAAGAGACTTTTGAATTACCCTTAATACCACTATATGTGGTATTTTTAATGGAGTTTTTTCTCAATGACCCAAAGTATTTGCATTAAAAACTGGTGTTAGCAAAGGAACTTGAGCGCTAAGAGTTGGCGGTGGTTAGTCTAGTTAGTATATCATACCTTCTGTGTCGTGAATATCTCCCAATGACATGGCCTGAACCATCGCATCCGGGGGTGGGGCAGCTACTTAGTGAAACAAACAGAAAACAAACATTTGTTTTATTCATCTTGCACAATGAATACGTTCAAACTTTGTATGTGCTTTTCAGTTCATCACCAGCCTAGTTTATTTGCTCTGAATATCTGCATGCTCTGGTTTTAGTGCACCTGGCCAGTCTAAAGCCATATTGCATTTATCAGGAGTGTCCTACATGTATACAGTAACAGGACAACTGTGTGGGTGGATTCAACACAGTAGCAGAAAGAATCTTACTCTCTCACCTTAACTCTGCTCCCACGAGTTCAACGGGTACTGGGGAATAAAAAGACAGAGAGAGAACATCATAAGACACACACTTATCCTACAATACACAACAAATGAAGCCGTTTCAATTAGTGAGTGTGCATGTGTGCCTGCGTGCGTGCCTACTGTACGTGCATGTCTGATTGGCCCCAGCTCACCTCTGATGCCTTTTGAGCGGGTCCGGGTTCTCGTTTCTGCTGCGTCCTGACTCATCTGAAACACACAGAGTGTCATGACACTGCACTCACTATCTGTCTCTCTTTCTCTTGTTCACACACACACACACACACACACACGCACACACACACACACACACACACACAGACACACAGATACAAAGGCTTCACTTTTTGAGTGACTTCTCTACAATTATTCTGCATCCTCAATGTATACAGTGCCATAGCAGTATCAATGTATTTTCCCCCCTATCTTCCTCTTCCTGCACACAAGTATTTTAAAGGAGCAAGCTGTTGTTACGAAAGCAGAGCCCTTATCAACTCTAATATAAGCTTTTAAAAGGAAATATCAGCACACACACACACAGCTTCTTACTTTGATTCGAAGGCTCCTCTTGGTCTCACAGAATCTGCTTATTCTGTCTCCTCGTGTCCACCTCTGGTTCAGCAGCTGCCCTCTGAACTCATTTTCTATTGGAGAGGAGAGATATAGGACACACAGTCAGGCTTATACAACACCAGCATACAACATACATCAGGGTTGGGCAAACCTTTTGGCCGCACAGATGTTGCTTCCAGAGGCAGTTTGGAACTCGGTAGTGAGTGTTGCAACCGAGGACAGAGGATTTTTGCGCGCTACGCACTTCAACACTCGGCAGTCCCATTCTGTGAGCTTGTGTGGCCTACCACTTCGCGGCTGAGCCATTGTTGCTCCTAGACGTTTCCACTTCACAATAACAGCACTTACAGTTGACCGGGGCAGCTCTAGCAGGGCAGATATTTGATGAACTGACTTGTTGGAAAGGTGGCATCCTATGACGGTGCCACATTGAAAGTCACTAAGCTCTTCAGTAAGGCCATTCTACTGCCAACGTTTGTCTATAGAGATTGCATGGCTGTGTGCTCGATTTTATACACCTGTCAGCAACGTGTGTGGCTGAAATAGCCAAATCCACTAATTTGAAGGGGTGTGCACATACTTTTGTATACATAGTGTACATACTTAGACAGGCCCAAACTGTGTGCACTGGTGACATCCTAACCTATTAGGGATACAAGATATATAAGACTGTGTGACATACTTTATTTTTTCCATGTATGGCAATTTCATTCCATGACATAATGTAATGTTGATTGTTGGTGTTCTTCTTATTTGTTGTTAATCTTATTTGTTTACAAAATGTTCTAAAAAGCTTAAACACAAAACTATCCTTGAAGAGCACCCCTAGAAAATCATCACATGTTCAATCTGGACAGAGCTACAGGTAAAAACGGTCGATGGTTGATAAGAGGGTGATAAATAACCATGACTGTTATTGCATACACAACAAGCTCCCCATACACAATAGGGCTGTGTGGTTGAGATTCCCACAGAGAAATATAAGAGAACAATACAGTAGGCCGACAAGTACTAGCGCTGTTAAATCAATGGCATTGAGGCATACACTGTTCCAAGATCATGTTGCGTTAAACATGCAGCAATGTGCAAAGAATATGTATCATATAGCATTTTAGGCATACCTATGATTAGGCCTACTTGGCCTATATAGTTGGACGTTATAACCGGTGGTGATTCTATTATTTGAGGAATAGCCTTTAATGAACCAGACAGTTAATCACTATATACTAAAATATTAAACTGCATATCCGCTCACCAGAGCAACTAGCCTACCCAAAGTCTCCTCCTCGACCATGTTAGCCTATTTTCTTCTCTCTTGCACATAATGGAATTAGACCTATAGGCCTAGAGTAGGACACATTTGAATACATTTAGATGATTTATGAATATGTGTTTAAAGAGAAAGAAAATGGCTTCGTGGCTTTGTTTATCGGCCTTGCACAAAAACACCACGGTGCTGTCCATGGTGCTACTAACATGACCTAACACACTCGGCTATGGCACCACGCCTTCGAGTTAATCGGTCTGGTTTAGAGAGAGAGAGAGAGCCTTCAAATATCAAGCTTGGGTGGGTTTTTCTAGTGCTATTATATTAATAAGGTCGTTGTAATGGCACTCTTAGCGCACATAGCCCCGGGAGATGGTGACATTTGAGGAGCGCATGATCATCGGCTCTCGGAAATGTAGCTCCACCTCCCCCAGTTTCCTACTGACACATTTGACAGTCATTGACTACAAACACGACCTCCATGCGAGCAGAGTAGGAAAGCACAGGCAAATATATAGCAACGCAGCAGCAGGCCCATTGCAAAGCCACTTTGTAACCAAATAACGTGCAGGTTTAGGCCTTGATCATCGAGTGAACATGCAACTGAAATATAAAGACAACAAAATATATACGAGATAAGAACAAGAAAAGTAGGCTACATTGCGCTTATAAAGGCCTATGCCTCTACGGATTGCAAAAACATAAATGACTTTCACAATAGAACCCTAAACCGAAACAGATATGCCTAGTGGTTCAAATATTATTTTATATTATCTCCCCGGTTGCCTAATTTTCTATAGGCTCTTCATAATGGAAAGAAAGGAGAAACCATAAAATACAATTACATGGCTATGTACAATGCCACACAATAGGCCTACAGCTTTCAAACTTATCAACATTAGGTCTATATGCCTCTTTCCTCGAAGTTTCAGAAACCCTAAGCAACACGAAGTCGGATACAAATCACAAATTAATGCTTTTACAAACTGTGAACAATATAGCTTATTCTGAAACTCATATCAAAACGATCAACGTTTTTTTCAAGGGTACTATCAAAAGAGTTCGACATTCGTCCGAAATGACGTTCTCTGGTCGTTTGGATTACTTTTGGATTACCAAAACAGAACTGTGTGTTCTGTTTGTTCATGCCTTAAGTCTATATTACTGAAGGTTATGTGAAATAAGATACAATTATGTTCTATATGAATGAGCATCCTAAAGAGACCTCATCTTTAAGAATTAAGACCCGGACGTCCATTAGGCGATAGAAACCAACAGCAATGGATGTTCGCGAAAAGATAATAAATAGGTTTAATCTGATTTCAAACACATTTGAGGAACACAATCATTTAACTATACTACAGAATTTGAAACCGTAATATGATTATAAATACCATTCTTGAATGACTCTGGTTGCTTCGTTGTTTCAAGTAGGTAAGGCGGGCCTCCTGATTCCTATTTCAACAACTTCTTCTCAGCGTTGAATACTACGTCCACAATTTCCCCGCACCTCTTTCATTGACCGTTAGAGACATCAAACATAATCCGGAGCTGAGTGCTCTTCCACCAGTCTTCAGTTTACAAAAGCGGCATTACTCCAACTTTAAATGTAGAATAGCCTACTCCAAAATTCATAAGCAAAAAAACATGGCTTCATTTGCCTTTGTCAGCGAGAACAGGCCTACGTAATATTGCCTTACCTTTCGCTCATGGGCCATTGTTCACCCCTCCCCCCATTCTCTGACATCACCATAGCAAACCCCACAACATAGGCTAAGAGGGGCTTCGGTTACTCCGGTTAATTTTTTATATCAGTATTCATGCTGCAGCATCAATCATAATTTTCTGTAGTCTACACCCTCCCTCAACATCAGTATCAAGGTAAATCTAAGCACCGCTGAAAATATCTTGAAGAGTTCAGTACCCCGGGTGGTGCGTGCCTTAGTTTCAGCACCATGGACAGTAGCTAGAGCGTTCTGCTAAAACAGCGATCCATAAAAATAACATTTGTCCTTATAGATGTGGTAACTACTCTCAGAGCTAAATATAAACCACTTTCCAATTCACACCGATTGAAATTCCTTCAAAGTTAACTTAAATAGCCGATGTTTTATTGAGAGAAAAAAAACAATCGAATTGCATGGTGTCTGTTACAGACAATGTTTTCGTAGCACTTTGTGTCTGCCTATATCAACCAAAATATTTCACATTTCACATTTTAGTCATTTAGCCAAAAACTGAAACATTGGTGTCAAGGCAAAAAAAGCGTAACATACCCCTCTCAGAGGGAACTCGTTTTTCTTGTGCAACAACACACAGGCAGTACTCCGCAAAATATGATTAGGCCTACAGCCTGAGCTCCTCTGGACAAAGTAGTAGTAGCCCTACAGTATCCTTTCCTATATTTGCTCTCTACTGATTTTGTTTTGAAGAAAATCAAATAATGTTACAGAAAAAAAGCTACTTTAGAACAATGTATTGATTAAATATAGTAGGCTAATAAATGCTAATACAACCACGAATATATAGGCTATGACCATAATCTAGGTCTAATCGTCAAATCATGCAGCCTATACCTATACAAATTTGGATAACCAATCAATAATTTAAACGAAACGAATATGCTATTAGTAGCTTTATAGTAGTATACACTTTTGAGTGCGTGTAAATAAATGATTTTACTTATTGGGCATATAAAGTACCCTACTAGGCCTAGTCTATACCCCTCAAACGTCCGGTTGCAAATATGTTGAAAAACAAATCTCAATTTTGGCACTGTTAAAGCTCGAGCAACTTCAAAAGAGTTTTGCATATTTAAAGTCTCAACTCCTCTTCGGTTACCAGCTGGGGCCTTTTTTCCCCGATCGCAGTCATTTTTTAAAGCCACAGTGCAGATGGACAGCCCTGCTCTGGAATACAATTAGCGTCGGATCTGCTATGACTGGGACGGGCTGTATAAATATTACATAGGGGGTGACCGACGAGAGGGTAGGCTGCTCTCTCGACTCCCCAAAAACAGATGGACCAATCTGACAGACTCCCCCACCCCGCACAAAATGTTTTTAATACGCCTGCAGCCTGACGTCTCCTATACAGAGTTAAGAGCCACTAATCCCTGAGGGGACAAAACTTTCCTTTGTCTAACAAAGTGTCTGAACAGAGTGTGAGTTCAGGAAATCTTTGGTCAGCACAAAGAGCCTTGTGTGGTTAAGATTCAACATAGTTTTTCTATTAATATAAATTCGGGCATGTACAGAAAAACTTTCCATAAACAGCTGAACGGTTAAAAGGCCCAGAAAATTCAGCAACTGGGCACAGACTGCAAATCAACCTTTGTTTATACGTTGTCGACAAGCTTATAGCTTCCGTACATTTTGGGTTATATTTAGACATTGTGTAAATAGAGTTGATGAGTTTTTGCTAATGAAATACGAAGAAGTCACATAATTCGAGTATGTTTAAATAAAGTTGACGCCACCTGTGTGTGTCTAGTAGTGGGTGGAAGATGCTTATTTATCATCCCTAAAGCCAATGCAAATACTGACACTTTCTTTACGATGAATATGTGTCTTTTAATGACTTTGAATAGAGAACATGCAAGTTTAAGCTATAACAGAAGAGCAGGCAAGGCCTATCCTAACAGACTAAAAAGTGACAGATGCTTAGACCGTCACATCTGCTCCTAACCATAGTTCAGTTAGCCATCAACACATTGCTTACTGAAGAGAGAGAGAGAAACAGATGATAAATAGGCGACTCACCTAAAAAGGTTTTACACAGCTTCATCTTTGCTGTGACTTTTCCCCTTGTACACTGCTTCCAAACACAGGCAACTTTACTTCATACTAAAGAAAGTTGGGTAGAGAAACGTATGAGTCGGGAAGGAGGGTATTATTGGGCAGCTGTCGATTTGAACCAATCAGAGGCCACCGGTCCTGTTATTGTTTCCAAAAACAGCCAATGAGAGCGTCGCACACTGTCAGCGTTCCAAAACAATGCCCATTGAAAACTAACACAAAGGGGTCGCGGTATCCCTAGTAAGTCACAAGTGAAATCCAACTTCTTCCCCGGTTCTCTCATTGCAACTCCTCAAAGATGCTTGAGCTTTCAAAGTGTCTCTGAAAGGAAGCTTTCATTTCTTAGAATGCCTCCCTCAGAATCTTATCAGCAGGTGAAAGGAAGGCATACCCTACCAATTTCCCATAATATGTAATGAAACGAATTATATAATACTGAAGTAGTGTGTACAAATGCACAATCAGATTAATTTAGTTAATACAATTATGTTGGTAGCATGCAATAAAGTGGTTCTAACTTGGCAATAGTGTGGAAACAAGTTATAGGCCTAGTAGGCCTACTCATAGGCTAATGAAAACTCATAGCCTATACCCTTAATTTCAGTGTAATTATGTTCTTCTTTCAGGCTATTACACCACATTTGTAGTACAGCAACATGCTACAGTAAGGTTGTGTTCTGTCAGATAGGGATGCCAAACCCCGATCACTGAGTTCTAGTCTATCAATCAGTTACTTACAAATCAATGAAGGACATTTCTCAGACACATGCCTACCATTTGACACACTGTAGTCTGACTGTCATCTACAAATGCCATCTCTCTCTCTTACTTGCTCCCCATTCTCTCATTGTTTTCAACTCTCTCCACTCACGTCTGTCTGTCTCTCTGTCTGTCTGTCTGAATGTCTCTGTGTCTCTGTCTGTCTGAATATGTCTGTCTGTCTGTCTGTGTGAATGTCTGTCTGTCTGAATGTCTCTGTGTCTCTCTGTCTGTCTGTCTGAATGTTTCTGTGTCTCTGTTTGTCTGGCCCTTCTCCTCTCCCTGTGAGTGGTGCTCTGTAACTTTGTGGTTCACCATATGTCCTTCTCGCCCTGTGAGTGGATACTGTGCCCCCCCATAGACCCCTATGACAGATGGCCTGCAGATATTGATGACCGCAGGCTGCAGCCCCCCCTCCCCCACCTCCTTTCTGACGGCGCTTCTGGTTGTCGTCAAGACATTCTGCAGGCTCAAACTTTTGAGAGTTGAGATGTATGGCTGAGACCTGATTATGATTACCTTGAAATTTACTTTTTCTATTTGGTGTTTTCATAAACAGTTTTATTTTGTAGTAAATAAACTGTATGTTGTAGTGTTTGCATCAATAGTTGTTTTTTTTAAATCTGATGCTGTATGGGCCTATGGGTGGGAGCTGTGAGGAGGAATACTGACGGATGGCCAAGTCCTGCTGCACTGCACACACGCACACACATGCACCCCCTGCCCCCTGCACACTAAGAGCCTGATTACAATAACAAAGGCTGCTCACACTTTGGGGCGGAGCCAGCGGGATGATTTCCAGGCCATTGGCTGCTTAATGAGCACCCTGTGTGTGTGTGTGTGTGTCTGTGTGTGTGCATGCGTATGCGTGCACGTGTGTGTGTTTGTGTGTGAATAGTGAAAAAAAGGCCCTTTGCCACAGCTGTCACTCTTCAGTGTAATATCAGTCTAGTCTGTCTAAAGTTAGTATGAAAAGAATAACTGCATCAATATCCCTGGAACATTTCAATAATTATTTGAAGATCAAATACAAAACAAGACAACTTTTAGTATTTTCTAATGTATTTTTCTGGAATTGTTTGTGCATAGGGATCTATGAAGTGACTCAAAGTCGTAAGACTGAAGTTACAGAGAGTGATAACTTAAAAAGGTATGGTGTGGTAAACACAACCCTAACTTCAGATAAGCATTTAACAAAAATGTTCTGTTTGTAATAATGCATCACACTTAAAATACCAAAATATTGACGACATATTTGGAGTTGTTAGAGAACCGCAATCAAGAGGAGTATTCACCAATGGGTTTGCACTCAAAGTTTTAGTACTGTGTGGATAGTATTCTGCCATGCCTTGCCAAATAAGCTCAGCAGATGTCGAAAAGTATAGGTTCACTTGTTTTGGTGGAGTGAATATGACAACGTGCCAATAGTCCTCTTTCTTCATTCATCCCTCAACTTCCCAAAAGACCCCCCCCCCCCCCCCCCCCCCAATAAGACAATTTGCCTTCTAGTCTAGATGTTCATGCCACCTGCCCTCATACACCCTCACACCCAGCTCAGCCCCCCCCCATAATTAAGCACACTCATGTTCTGGTCTCAAGACTATTTTTGTTTCGTCACCTTGCCTTCCGGCAATACAGCAGCCCCCATTCCCCCTCCTTGAAAAAGAAAGCCAGAAAAATATCAAATCTACCTGCGGACTGCTGAAGCCCAGCCAATATGACTGTTAGATTAGACATCCTCTATGATTAATTAGCACCGACCCACACTCCGAAGTATCCATGGTAATTTTAATTCCACATTCCTGTCGCCATGGCACAGGGCCAAAGGACTGGGTGTATTGCCCCTCTCCCCCTCCCCCCTTTCTCATCCAACTAGCCAGGCTGAGTTGGCATCTGTATGCAAATAACCTTCATGGTATATAGATAATGTATGGAGGGTGAGGGGATGTACGGACTCCCCTATACTTATGCACTAAGATATAAATTGTGTGACATTATAAGCAGCTGTCGGCCTGCTTTCTATGGCTGTCATCCAGAGAGGCAAATCCCCTTGCAATTGCCATTTGTAAAATATTGATTATGAAATAGTTACAAATGAAATAAATACTTAATTGAGTCAATCTGCTAACATTACCACAGTGTGAACATCTTTTAAACAGTACTTAAAACATTTCTGTGCCTTTGTTATTAAGATGTTTCCCCATGCATGTTTCTACATCTGTTTTACACACAAATCTAAAATAAACAATACAATAAACAACACAATATTGCAGACAATGTTTTCATGTACAGTATTAAAATGGCTGGAGACATTTTGATGTCTAGACCGGCACAAATTGAGGACATTTATTAATTAATGATTTATTTATTTGTTATACAATAATGTATGAAAATGTCTTCTGATGATAACTAACTTTTCACTCGATTCCCTGGAGGTCACGGGGAAACAGGACACCTCTCCCAGAGAAGCAGTGTCACGATGGGCAGCTACACAGGTCACTCTTTGACCCCTGACCTCACGGAGGTACATGGTAACATAGGTCGCCACCCCGGAGAGGCTTCTCTTTCTCCTCCAGTGGGAGCAGGTGTTGGAAAAGGGCTGACCTCTTTAAGAGAATGAAAGGGCTGTTTGATTATTTACTGGAGTTGAATGTGCCACACGTGCCTCTCTCCCTAGGGGTGAGGGAGACACTGCCAACATAGAGCAACTCAATGAAACAAACCTAATAATCACAAATTGTCTGCTTATCATTTTTACATACTGCATGAACAACAGGCTTAAATACATATTATTATATCAGTATATATTGAATGTATACATGTGCATCTGTGTGAATTTAAAGTATTCATGACAAGGTTTCATGTCAATGTTCTCTCTTACCGCTCACTGACAAATTTCAATCGCCGGGAAAGGGGATAGAAGGTGAAATGTGGACCTCTTCAGGGCCTGACTGTTCTCAACGCAGAACAAACAAACATGTGCAAAGCAGTGGGTCTAAAGAGCTGACCCTTAAACTCATTAAGAGTCCAATAAAAACCTTCTGCCAGCACAGCAAGCCTTGCACCATTCCCCCACCAACAAAATTATAACAACCACTACTACTGCACTGAAAAAAGAAAACTGACACAATAGGAGCCTCTTATTAGTAGAGCACTGCCCAGTCTTGGTGACATATGCTCCTAGAATAAGCAGAGCGAGAGGGAAAGAGGAAGTAGAGAGAAGAAGAGGATCGGTTTTCATTGTTTTTTAGGTTGATGGTGTACAATTGAATAGAATAGGCTATTTCATGCAAATACATCTCATAATCTGTCATGAAGGGAAAAGTGTGAGTTAAGAAAGAGTGGTTTTATTTCAATAAGGCGACATGACAAGGTATCAATAGCAGCTAAGGATGAATTATTTGAAACAAATGTAACATTTTCATTAATACACAATACACAATAATTATCCATCGCATCGACACAATAAAATCTACACATTTAAAATATATAGTTTCTGGAAAGACTGTCAGTGCTGTGGGTATGGTACGTACAGGTAAAATGTTACATACATTAGTCCGACAAAAGTGGCAGTTCAAAGCTCACGGGTTGAGCAGCCTTGTCATGAAGAATATTGCGCTGTTTTGGTTGAAATTAGGTTCAAAGGTTTGGGTGCTGATGCAAGTTGGGATATTATTCATGCCAGTGTAATTCTGTTATCAGAGCAACTGTGTTTTTCACATTTGCACTATTACAGCAGGGGGCCATGCGTTTTCTCAGTGAGCAAAATCACAAAAATGGCAGTTCACACACAATGTGTTACCATGGCAAAGCATGAAATCCAATCCCTGTTCAAAGTGTGACTTGCATTTTAAACCTCTCAACACCTACATAAGGTTTATACAACAACAGCTTGATCATTTGGAATATAGCATTTTGATTCAGTTTGCATTCAGTATGCAAACACAGAGAGAAAGAGAGAGAGCGAGAGCGAGCGAGAGTTCAGAGAATTGGATGTGGTCATATTCTTCCCAAATTGGATGTGGTCATAGTCTTCCCAAAATAAAATATACAATATTGCTGTTCTGTCATTGGTGACACACTGTCCCCTGGTGGACAATGTAGCCAGTGTAAATTATTATGAAGAGTCGAAATACGAATGTCTTTTAAGGTATGCACGAGATTTCCCATTCCAAAACATGTTTTGAAGATATGTATTCTGAAATAACTTAATTTTCAGTAGGAGACGAGTGGACGCGGATATTGGCACATGGACGAGTAGGACACGAATCAGACAAGTGAAAACTATTTCAGGTGAGCTCTGGATGGCTAGCGAGTTAGCTAGTGTTTCATTACGTCTGCTTGCTTTATTAGCTAGCCAGCAATGTTAGCTGCATGATAGCGAACAACTCATTCAAGTTTAAAGTTAGCTAGCTAAGGTTGGCGTTTCATAAACTTTCGTCCAGACATCGAGAGTTGGCACAAATACTCTTCAAGCTAGCTAGCTATCCTTTCAATATGTTGCACTCTTGCTGCCTCTGCCTTGCACCATTGTCTCGAGCGACAGGCAAGTTTGCTATTTTTGCCAACCCCGCCTTAAACTAGCAGCCACTGCCATAACATAACAGGACAAAACCTCGTTAAAAATTACAATGTTTTAGAGGATTCTTTATTTTATTTCAACAGTTTGACCCAGCCACTTTTGTAACGGAGCTTGGACATTTACTCAAACATTTTACATTATTGACAGTGTTGGGGAAACTACTCTGAAAATATAGTTTACCAAGCTTGATACCAATTACTTCACACTGGAAGAAGTTAGCCCATTAAACACAAAAAGTCAGATTTAGACACTCAAATTGTTTCAAGTGAGAATTAGGCAGGTCTGATGCTGAAAAAGAAATAACATTATTGCCTACTTCACCCATCTTTTCTTTTTGCAAAACAAGTAGAGTATAGTTAGCTTCACCACTATGGCAAAAAAAAGTTCACTACTGCAAACACTACCAAGATTTGAATTTAGTTCAACTACCACCAAGCTACTGCACATTCTTATTAAATTACTTGTTGAACTACATGTAGTTCACTACTCCCCAACACTGATTATTGACAACACAAAATCATGGAGTACCGGTAATACATGATTACAACCTATTGTGGGCCGTTGTACCAAGCTCATAATATATTATAAGTTATACTCAAGAAAGCCAGGGCATTAATTGAAATTACACTGACAATTGAACAGTAGGAAATCTTATACATTGTGCCTTTTAACATTTATCAGTCGCATACAGCTACATTATGTTCATGTTTCTCCACTCCAGTGAGAGCTAGGCAGAGTTGAGGCTACACCATGGAGTTCAGTAGGATAGAGTTCTTCCAGGAGCTAGGGGAGAGCTGTGTTCTCCCTACGGCCCAGCAGGGAGTGGAACAGGTCTGGCAGCTGCTGCTCCTCTGCCTGCTCTGTCGACTCCTCTGTAGGCTGGGTGAGTCCACTTGAACACTTGACCAATAACATTATAAAATGGGGATAACACAGGATGTGCCAAACTTCATGTAATTTATACTTTGCCATGACACCATCCACAGTGTGTGGGACATACGTAATGATGACAGATAAAGAACTCAGTATTACCTTACAGAGGCCTACAAAAGCACCCCAATTCCTACAAAGGCCTTTGGTGGTGCCAGCCTGGTATTTAGTGTTTCCTGTCCTCCAGTAGGTCGCTCGTCGTCTGTGAAACACCTGGGCTCAGTGGCAGCGGGTCTATATGCCCTCTACCTGTTCTTTGAGCAGTCCATGGTGTGGGTGTTAATGCTCAGTATGCTCTGCTACACTGTCCTGTTCCTCAACCGCCACTCCAGCAGCCGAGGAATCTTCCTCTCTGCCACTATCCTCATCTATCTACTCATGGGGTAATGAATGAAATTAATGAACTCCATCTATAGCTAATGCTGTATCATAAACATTGTTGCTCCACTTAACTGTTTTCTTCAAATTTTTTATCTCCAGAGAGCTGCATATGATTGACACAGTGACCTGGCATAAAATGAGAGGTAAATGTCCTGCACAGATGTGAATGATTGGATGGCAAGGCAGTATGAGACATATGCATGATTTTATAGATTCAGACACAGACATCCTCCTGTTGCATTGTATTCGAGACCTTAGTGAAGGAACCACTGTGCGTGCTTTGCCTATCATCCCCACTTCCCCAGGTTCTCAGATGGTGGTGGCCATGAAGGCCATTTCTCTGGCCTTTGACCTGGACAGAGGCACTGTGCTCGCTGTGCCCAACCCTCTGGAGTTCATAGGCTACATTTTCTTTGTGGGCACTGTCATCTTTGGGCCCTGGATTAGCTACTCAAGCTACAAAGAGGCCATTGAGAGCCGTAAACTGGTAAGCCACAGCTGAAGAGATGTGCTACTGTTTTGCAAAAATAATGTCTTCTCAGTCAACTTGTTGAAAGAAAGCTGAATAGATGCCTGGATAGTATCTGAATTTACATTTGACATATAGGTCTATAACATATTGGTCCAGATTTACTAAGTGTTTGCGCTGGTGCAAAGTTTACACCTCTTTTCACTGCAGTTAGATCAACATACTTTAGCTGCTTTAAGTCAAAATGCCTGCTAAAATCTGTCCTTTTTTAACTTCTCTGTCCCCCAGAGTTGGTCCTGGCTCCAGAAGTTTTCAGTCAGCTGGGTGAAATGCCAGGTGTGCTTGGTGATATCCAACTGCATCGCCCCATACCTCTTCCCTTACTTCATTCCAATCCACGGGAGCAGAGGACTGCACACGTGAGTGCACGTTTCACTGAGCAATTCCTTGGTCATTCCAATGTCATTGCTATTTTGATATGTGAATGTACAATAACTTTATTTTAGTGATTTCCATTTATTTATATTTCTCTGCTTCCAAGAGGCACATAAGCAAGTTAAGGGTTATTGTGATGAAGAACATCAAACAAAGTTTTTCAGACAATCATGTGTAGAAGCAATAGTTAACTCTTCAAGATGGCGTCAGTGCATAATGCTATTCCTAGCATTATTGCTGAATGAAGAAAGGCTATAAACAGTATCTTAGAGCTATCTTGTCTATTTTCCCTGTGTGCAGGTGGCTCCACGCGTATGAGAATGCTGTATCCTTCCACTTCAGTAACTACTTTGTGGGCCACCTTAGCGAAAGTACTACTGTGCTGGCAGGAGCAGGTTTCACTGAAGACAAGGACAATGTCAAATGGTGAGTTCAATTCATACGATCTATGGTTCAATCAGTTGTGGTACACATATTTCATATATTTGCCTTTAGGTTAAGTGTACAGTTGAAATCGGAAGTTCACATACACCTTAGCCAAATACATTTAAACTCAGTTTTTCACAATTCCTGACATTTAATCCTAGTAAAAATTCCCTGTCTTAGGTCAGTTAGGATCACCACTTTATTTTAAGAATAATAGTAGAGAGAATTATTTATTTCAGCTTTTATTTCTTTCATCACATTCCCAGTGGGTCAGAAGTTTACATACACTCAATTAGTATTTGGTAGCATTGCCTTTAAATTGTTTAACTTGGGTCAAATGTTTCAGGTAGCCTTCCACAAGCTTCCCACAATAAGTTGGGTGAATTTTGTCCCATTCCTCCTGAAAGAGCTGGTGTAACTGAGTCAGGTTTGTAGGCCTCCTTGCTCGCACACGCTTTTTCAGTTCTGCGCACACATTTTCTATAGGATTGAGGTCAGGGCTTTGTGATGGCCACTCCAATACCTTGACTTTGTTGTCCTTAAGCCATTTTGCCACAACTTTGGAAGTATGCTTGGGGTCATTGTCCATTTGAAAGACCCATTTGCGACCAAGCTTTAACTTCCTGACTGATGTCTTGAGATGTTGCTTCAGTATATCCACATAATTTTCCTTCCTCATGATGCCATCTATTTTGTGAAGTGCACCAGTCCCTCCTGCAGCAAAGCACCCCCACAGCATGATGCTGCCACCCCCGTGCTTCACGGTTGGGATGGTGTTCTTCGGCTTGCAAGCGTCCCCCTTTTTCCTCCAAACATAACGATGGTCATTATGGGCAAACAGTTCTATTTTTGTTTCATCAGACCAGAGGACATTTCTCCAAAAAGTACGATCTTTGTCCCCATGTGCAATTGCAAACCGTAGTCTGGCTTTTTTATGGCGGTTTTGGAGCAGTGGCTTCTTCCTTGCTGAGCGGCCTTTCAGGTTATGTCGATATAGGACTCGTTTTACTGTGGATATAGATACTTTTGTACCTGTTTCCTCCAGCATCTTCACAAGGTCCTTTGCTGTTGTTCTGGGATTAATTTGCACTTTTTGCACCAAAGTACGTTCATCTCTAGGAGACAGAACGCATCTCCTTCCTGAGCGGTAGGACAGCTGCGTGGTCCCATGGTGTTTATACTTGCGTACTATTGTTTGTACAGATGAACGTGGTACCTTCAGGCGTTTGGAAATTGCTCCCAAGGATGAACCAGACTTGTGGAGGTCTACAATTGTTTTTCTGAGGTCTTGGCTGATTTATTTTGATTTTCTCATGATGTCAAGCAAAGAGGCACTGAGTTTGAAGGTAGGCCTTGAAATACATCCACAGGTACACCTCCAATTGACTCAAATGATGTCAATTAGCCTATCAGAAGCTTCTATAGCCATGCATCATTTTCTGGAATTTTCCAAGCTGTTTAAAGGCACAGTCAACTTAGTGTATGTAAACTTCTGACCCACTGGAATTGTGATTAAGTGAAATACTCTGTCTGTAAACAATTGCTGGGAAAATTACTTGTGTCATGCACCAAGTAGATGTCCTAACCGACTTGCCAAAACTATAGTTTGTTAACAAGACATTTGTGGAGTGGTTGAAAAACGAGTTTTAATGACTCCAACCTAAGTGTATGTAAACTTCCGACTTCAACTGTATGTTTATTATTGCAGTATTTTGATAGCATAGTAACACAGTGGCTATGTACCTATTGTAATATATGTCTAGGTAAGATAAGTGAAAATAATGTGTGTGTGTGCGCGCGCATGTGCATATGTGTTTTTAGGGATCTGAAAGTGGTTAAGCCTCTGAATGTGGAGTTGCCCAGGTCCATGGTGCTGGTGGTGACCTCCTGGAACATCCCCATGTCTCGCTGGCTCAACACATGTAAGCATCATTACACCTTCAATTTACTATAAACAGATTAGACAGAAATGTTAGAACTATGGGCAGTGTTTAACCAACAGTTTTTTTTTTTTTACATTAAAATGTCAACTGATTACTGTCTCTTTCCCCCATTTTGTTATAGATGTTTTCAAAAGTGCTTTGAAACTTGGCACATTTTCATCCATCATTGTGACTTACACAGCCAGTGCCCTGCTACATGTGAGTATGAGTCAACCAACTCAGTGAAGACATCTTACGTGATGATTCAGAAAAGGTCACTCACCATCGCACTTTAATACTGTTTTCTGCTTTAGTAAGATTTGATCTGATTTAAAAAATCTGGACTCTGGCTGAGGCCAAAGTGAAGAGTTGGTTGATCAGCTTCCTATGTTGTGAAACGAATCCACCATTTTGTTTTCTCCAGGGCCTCAGCTTCCATCTTGGGGCCGTGCTGCTGTCTCTGGGCTTCATCACCTACGTAGAACATGGTGAAGTTACCTCTCCTATCTGCTTTTCTCATTCACATGCTCACTTGTGTCATGTGAGTATTGTTTCAAAGGTTGTACTGGTTGTGCATTGACATCACCTTATTGTCTTGTCATCCTCTGTCAGTTCTGAGGAAGAGGCTGGCAGCCATCTTTAGTGCCTGTATCCTGTCCAAACAGTGTCCCAACAATTGCCATCATCAGCAGAAGAAGGTACATGCTTGTCGCATCCAGGAATGTTTACACTCATATTTGTATATCATATTTTGAAGGTGCTTTCCATAAGAGACCATATTGTTAATTGCACATTGAATGGGTCCATGTGGGGGAGTGAGCTAGCTAGTGCACATTGCGGGGAGGAGGTTTGGGATTCAGAACACATCCCCAGTGTAGTGAATGATCTGTGCCTCTCTCGTAGGAGCTGTGGGTGTATGGCATCAACCTGGCCTTCAGTGCCATGGCCATCTTCCACCTGACATACCTGGGCTCCCTGTTTGACGCTGAAGTAGACAACTTGGCTGCAGAGGAGGTAAGGCCCACCAATGACCTGCTACTGCTGGCTGGGGCCAAGTTAATGGAGAACATAAGAATTAAACAGTGGTCTATATGAACGTATTACTTATACACATTTAGTCACCATTGTCCTCCTTCTCAGGGTTATGTGGCCAACCACACCATTCAGAAGTGGTCAGAGTTGAGCTGGGCCAGCCACTGGCTGGTGTTCGGCTGCTGGCTCTTCTACCGCCTCATTCAGTGATCTCATTGGACGAAGGTCTGTACTGAACAGAAGACAATAGCCTGGTCCAAAAAGAACCCTTATCTCACAGGTGGGCCATCTTACCTAGTGAGGTCTGGTATGGGTGCAGACTTAGTGGACACGGAATAGCGAAGTGCAGGGCCAGGACGATTGTCCCACTCCATCATGACTGGAAGAATGCTGCATTGTTTACCAGGGTCTTTCTGTATTTGTTTGTTGTGGTAAACACTAACGAACCAGTCACACACGTTCTTTGCTATGATGCATCACACTGTTGAGATTGAGAACCAGAGGTAGGCTGAAGATTTATCAGTGGCTTCTGTATAGGCTACTGTTCATCTTCAGGTCTTTTGGAGTTTGATCACACACAATCATTATGAATATTTATGTTTCTGTTTATATCAGTAGCACTATAGGTCTTCTCACACTGCATTGTTCTTAGCCCCAGGGCTAAGACTGGGCCATGGGCTAGCTTATCCTGTGTTCATACAAGCATGTGTTAACCTGGGGCCTTATGTGAATTTATTATGTTAGACCATTGATGTTATATAATACATGATGTTCTCGATGGAGGTACTTTTTTTCTACTTCTGTATGTGTGTCTGTTTCTCTATTAAAGGCATGTTTTTCTAGTTCTGTGGCACTACTTAGACACTAATAAATGAAGGGTTTATTTGTTGATGAGAGGTGAAGCACACCCTAGTAGTTACATTATTTATTCAACAAGTTGAAGGATTGTACTGTATTTTGCAGCAAATTATACTATTTAGAATGGCAGATCAAAACAATGGTTACTGGACAAAAATATAAACGCAATAATTTCAATTTTTTAACAGTTCATATAAGGAAATCAGTCAGTTGAAATACAGTTGAAATACATTCATTAGGCCCTAATCTATGGATTTCACATGACTGGGAATACAGATATGCATCTGTTGGTCACAGATACCTTTAAAGAAAAAAGGTAGGGGCGTGGATCAGAAAACCAGTCAGTATCTGGTGTGACCACCATTTGCCTCATGCAGTGTGACACATCTCCTGCACATAGAGTTGATCAGGCTGTTGACTGTGGCCGTTGGAATGTTGTTGGAGGTGTCGTTGGAGGCGATTTATGGTAGAGAAATTAACATTAATATCTCTGGCAACAGCTCTGGTTGACATTCCTGCAGTCAGCATGCCAATTGCGTTCTCCCTCAAAACTTGAGACATCTGTGGCATCGTGTTATGTGACAAAACTGCACATTTTAGAGTGGCCTTTTATTGTCCCCAGCACAACACTTTACATGTTGACTTCAGTGTAGTTAATCTTAACCATTTAAGAGTATTATGCTTATTACAAGCATCAACCTAATTAACATAATACAAAAATCCCCATCAAAATCTGTCAGTATTAAGGGAAAGATATCTGCATGGGATTTTTTGCATGGGCTGCATCTCAATCCACTGGATCCACCCACCTATGTCGGCCTTCCGCATCTGCGGTGGAAAGTGGCAGAGCTACAGTGCTGTTTGTCAGACCAGGAGACATCTGAAAATCGATCTTCTCACAAAAACGTCTGTAGGTTGATGGCACCTTAATTAGGGAGAACAGGCTCGTGGTAATGACGAGCGGAATCAGTGGAATGGTATCAAATGCATCAAACAAATGGTTTCCAGGTGTTTGATGCCATTCCATTTGCTACGTTCCGGCCATTATTATGAGCCGTTCTCCACTGATATGACCCCATTATTGGAAAGGGGAGACTCACGAACACCATGGTATTTCCATTTTGCTCTACAACCCCCACAACAACAACAGGACTCGTCTGAAGGTAACCCGGTACCAGTTTAAAAAATGAATGGAAGTATGTAGCTAGTTTTGTGCCAACAAAATAAAGGTGTTAAATATGTGTCCCAAAAACAAAAATATTTCCTGAACTTTCTGATACTGTATCTCCTAGAGACACTTATTCCTTATGATTTTTTTTTACTGTCTTTTTCCATTTATGAATGTGTTATTCAATGCATTTCTATGGGCTATAGTAGTAAAGCCCAAATTAAATATTTTATCAAATAATTTAAAATAATTGTTTTGATACCTACAGGGGTCCTAAAATTCAAAATCAAATAGCTAAGTGATACATGGTATGACCATTTTAAAACAATTTGTTAGCTTATTTTCACCACCCAGCTTGTTTAGAGCCCCCTCATGATCGGTTCAGAGACAACACAAGTTGACACATTCCAAAGTGGACTTGGCTCCCCATCTGTCAGCTTACCTTTCTTACCTGTGTTTAGTCAATCATTAATCACTGCTATCGGGAAAGCATCGTTCAGACAACAGGACGCAATCTCAACACGGAACTGACAAGACACTCGCCAAGTGACCGTCCTCGGAGAATAGAAAAACAAAGTCTCGTCCTTTATTACATCAGTCTTTCTATACCAGGTCAGTTGGTTCAAATGTAATTGTCCCTCCTTAAATTTGACGGATATCTGGTTTTACAGAAGGCCTACTCTAGATTCTGTCCTATTCACAATACGTCTAGGGTTTGTGGTGTTTGTTAGTGGGAACTGTGCTCTCTGAGAGGATGAGGAGAGGAGGTAACTGCAGCTGGTTAGGAGCAGAGATCCCACTGTCCTGGGAGTTCTTCAGTGGTAAGACCAGCATTTATGCATTCACATGAACTGTATGGCAGATGTTATTGACTGGCCAGAGATGACTTTTTTTGTACAGTCATTGGATCTGACACATCAGGTTCTGTGTGGTAGATGTCCGTGCTTGCCAAAAACTGCACAATGCTTTTTCAATGCTTTGTCTATGTGCAATATTGGTGTTTGCCGTCTTCGATTCTGAGTGATGCTAACTGAGCCATTCGCTGCTACGCCAACCCTGCTAATGTGTTGGGGCATTTCCACCTGAGACTTACCTCACACCAGTGTGTCACCAGTGTTTATGTTAATGTAATCTCTAGTGTTGTTTTCTGGGAACTGTATGTGTTGGATAGGATGTGTCCCACCACAAGTCCTTGTGTTGTGCGCTTGTCCTCAGTGATCAAGGATGAGCTATGGCTGTTTCTCATTCCTGCCGGGTTCGCTGTGATCATGCTGGCCCTGTTCCTAGAAGAGGTGGGCTTCTTCCTGCGTCACGTGCCCTACTCCAGACGCCGGTGCCTCTACCTGTGGATACTGGGCATGTACCCGGTAAAGGGACCTCTCCTTTTTGCCATACATTTAAATTGTTTTCGGATAGGTATTTGTACATTTTGTCATTGTTGCTACTAACTTCACTCATTCTCTTTTGGTCAGGTCTTTGGCTTAACCTCAATCATTGCGCTGTACGTTCCTCGCTCCTCCTCACTGTGTAACTTCATAGCTTCTCTGTAAGTATCGAGTACAACCTCTTGACCATCACTTTGTTTGTGTACTAACTTAAACATGGAAACATTTGGGCTAAAACTTCCATCAGTAAAACTTATCTCTCCATTTGTCATTCTCTCTCTGAAGGTACCACTCCATCACTCTGCTAAAGTTTATGGGGCTCATCACAGACTTCTTTGGGGGAAAGGCCCGCATGCTGGAGATCTTAGCTGGAGAGCAGGTGTCTCCGGATCCGTTCCCATGTTGCTGCTGCTGCTGCCTCCCTATGATAGCCATCAACAGGTACTTTATAACTGGGTGTCCTCCTCAGTGTGCACATCCATATCGTGATAATGATAGATTCATAAGATATTGCCGCATCGCGAGAATGATAGATAAACAATATATTGCTGTAATGACTCCATATCGCAATACTGATAAATGCACAACATATCGCCATAATCGCCTGTGTCGCGATAATGATAAATACACTATATATTGCCGTAATCACCCTGCCCCACTACCTCTCTCCCTCCATAGGACCAGCCTGGGATGGATGATGGCTGCTGTGCTACAACTGTCTGTGGTCAGAACCATCCTGTTCTTTGTCACTCTGGTCCTCTGGACAGATGAGCAGTATGACTATGGAGATGTGAGTGGCACTCATATATCGCAAGACATATTTGCATTGTAACCAATTTATTTTTGTCCTAAATTTAACCAAATGAGTCCCTGGTTAATAAGTCAATTACTTAATTATACAAGTAGATGCTACTATTAGCAATTTTCTTACCATATCCATGCCATTTTTCACAGATGGATTCTGCCAATCCCAATATGTACATGAATGCCATCATAGGCGTGTCTACCTTCTTGTCCTTCTATGGCCACCTGCTGTTTTACAAGGCCACCAAAAAGGCCTTGCCTGGCTATGGGCTGAGGGCCAAGTTTGTCTGTATCATTGTAGTGTTGGTGCTGTGTGGCCTTCAGAGTGGAATCCTGGAGACCATGGGGGCCCTGGAGGTGGTGCCCTGCACCCCTCCCTTCTCTGTTCTCATGCGTTCCCAGCGTAAGTGCATTGTGATGGAAGTCCTCCCCCATACATCTCCCTCCCAATATCATCTCCATGTCAATATTGTAACAGTGGAGATAAATGTTGATTATGTAATTATCAATGTGACATTGGTGGTAACCTCTTATCTTTTATTATCTTCCTGTCTCAGTAATTTACCACTACTCTGTGATTGTGGAGATGTTCTGCATATGCCTCTTTGCCCGCCACACTTTCCGTAAAGTGGAGCCTAGTCTAGAGGAGGGCTTTGGGCTGGAGGAGAGGCCCCCCAGAGGCATGCTGGTGGAGAAGGCGGTTCAGACTGAAGACGTGGTGCCACTCAGGGAGAACCCCTGGCCTGGCTGGGGCGGCACCGGAGTCTCCAATCCCGACTGTAATAGTGACAGCAGTGAGGACAGCCTCTGTAAGATCGAACACGCCGCTTTGGATCGCTTCCCTTTCCCTCTTCAACCCAGACGTCAAGAGACGGTGAGGCCAGAGAACGTAACTGATGAAAGTGGCATTTTGGAGATGCCCAAACTGACTGTCAACGCTGACATCAACGTTGTGGAGACTAGGGATGTTACTGTTGTATGACAATATGGAATGGACTGTCCTGGATTCTCCTGACGGGAAGACAACATAGGGGTCACCTCCAGAAAATGGAAGAAACACACCACACCGCTTGAGGTACTACCTTAACCAGTTTGTTCCTTTTTGCGTAAATTGTCTGAGACCCTGGATCTATCCATTCTATCTATTCCTTAGCTGAATGAAGATGGTAGCTACCGGTGTGATAGGCTATAATTTATTCCTACCCATAGTGTTTTCCTAATTTTTAAACTCTGTACATTTTGTTTTGCTATGTTATCTCAAAAAGCCAATAAACTCATTTTTTAAAAGCCTATTGCACAAATATTGCAGATTTATTAATCGGTCTCTGCGTCTCTCATGCCGTCTCTCAAAACATACAATAAACCTTTGAAGTTTGATATTTCATGTAATGTTCAATTCAAAGTAAACACTAATATAATCTGTTATCATAAGTGCCCCATGGGGTAGATGATATTGGCTCCCTATGAGCTTCTCACACCACATACATAGTACGCCTCTGGCCTAGCCTTCCCTCTGAAGTGCCTTGATACCAAAGATACACTATATATACAAAAGTATGTGGACATAGCCATGCAATCTCCATAGACAAACATTGGCAGTAGAATGGCCATACTGAAGAGCTCAGTGACTTTCAACGTGACACCATCATAGGATGTCACCTTTCCAACAAGTCAGTTTGTCAAATTTCTGCCCTGCTAGAGCTGCCCCGGTCAACTGTAAGTGCTGTTATTGTGAAGTGGAAACGTCTAGGAGCAACAACGGCACAGCAGCGAAGTGGTAGGCCACAAAGCTCACAGAACTGGACCGGCAAGTGCTGAAGCGCGTATCGCGTAAAAATCGTCTGTCCTCACTACCGAGTTCCAAACTGCCTCTGGAAGCAACGTCAGCACAACAACTGTTTGTCGGGAGCTTCATGAAATGGGTTTCCATGGCCGAGCAGCTGCACACAAGCCTAAGATCCCCATGTGCAATGCCAAGCGTCGGCTGGAGTGGTGTAAAGCTTGCCGCCATTGTACTCTGGAGCAGTGGAAACGTGTTCTCTGGAGTGATGAATCACGCTTCACCATATGGCAGTCCAATGGATGAATCTGGGTTTGGCGGATGCCAGGAGAACGCTACCTGCCCCAATGCATAGTGCCAACTGTAAAGTTTGGTGGAGGAGGAATAATGGTCAGGGGCTGTTTTTCATGGTTCGGGCTAGGCCCCTTAGTTCCAGTGAAGGGAAATCTTAACGCTACAGCATACAATGACATTCTAGACGATTCTGTGCTTCCAATTTTGTGGCAACAGTTTGGGGAAGGCCCTTTCCTGTTTCAGCATGACAATGCCCCCATGCACAAAGTGAGGTCCATACAGAAATGGTTTGTCGAGATCGGTGTGGAAGAACTTGACTGGCCTGCACAGAGCCCTGACCTCAACCCCATCGAACACCTTTGGGATGAATTGGAACGCCAACTGTGAGCCAGGCCTAATCGCCCAACATCAGTGCCCGACCTCACGAATGCTCTTGTGGCTGAATGGAAGCAAGTCCCCGCAGCAATGTTCCAACATCTAGTGGAAAGCCTTCCCAGAAGAGTGGAGGCTGTTATAGCAGCAAAGGGGGGACCAACTCCATATTAATGCCCATGATTTTGGAATGAGATGGTTGATGTGCAGCTGTCCACATACTTTTGGCCATGTAGTGTAGGTCTCATATTGTAAACTATAATGTAAAACAAATATGAAGTAGTTTACGCTGGCTACTGTAACCAGTGGTGGAAAAAGTACTAAATTCTCATACTTGAGTAAAAGTAAATTTGCCTTAATAGAAAATGATTCAAGTAAAAGTGAAAGTCACCCAGTAAAATACTACTTGAGTAAAAGTCTAAAAGTATTTGGTTTTAAATATACTTAAGTATCAAAAGTAAATGTAGTTGCTAAAATATACTTAAGTATCAAATGTAAAAGTACGAATAATTAAAGATTCCTTATATTAAGCAAACCAGACGGCACAATTTTCTTGTTTTTTTTATTTACGGATAGCCAGGGTCACACTCCAACACTCAGACATAATTTAAAAACAAAGCATTTGTGTTTAGTGAGTCCGCCAGATCAGAGGCAGTAGGGATGACCAGGGATGTTCTCTTGATAAGTGTGCGAATTGGACAATTTTATGTCCTGCTAAGCATTCAAAATGTAAGGAGTACATTGGGGTGTCAGGGAAAATGTATGGAGTAAAAAGTACATCATTTTCTTTAGGAATGTAGTGAAGTAAAAGTTGTCAAAAATATAAATAGTAAAGTACAGATACCCCAAAAAACTACTTAAGTAGTACTTTACACTGACTGTAACTCCCCCAGGCATGTAGTAAGAGCCACGTTTTGAAACAATGTGTCTACTGTGCCCTCTAGTCATACACATTATTCCAATGGTTTAATTAATAAATAAGGATATACATTAATTTTTCCACCAATATTATCTGAACATTAGAGTGAGAATATGCTTATTATTCTGTTTCCATACCTTGCAACAGTCGCAAAGGGTTTTCTGCTCCAATAGAAATACCGCTAGAATATGCTCCATCCAATCAACAGCATGGAACAGCTGCTTCCTCGAAAGTCTTTCCCCCAATCGAAGGATTGTTCAATTTTGGCGGTGCGGAAAACATGGCGGAAGATTTGAACGGTAAGGAGGGTGGGAAGTTAATACGTGTATATTTGTTGTGTTTTGAGGTTATTGAGGCTGTTTGAACTTATAAAATGTTACACTTAATTCCGCGACCTTTAATTCACGCTTGTCATGGAATATTTAGCCATGTTAAAGCAAGAGCAATGACGTTGAGTAGGCAGTTCTATCTGCGCACTTCGATTGTGTGGTCTTTTAAAAAAGAAATTGTATCGGCTAACGGTAACGTTTTAAAATCTAAAAGAATGCATACGGATATGGAATAGCTAGTAACTATACTAGCCAAATAACTAATTGTAAACTGCGTGGCACTATAAAGCGTCAATCGAGGAAAATCGGCGCGGTTTTCAGACAGCCCTAGGTACTTGCAAACAACAGAGAACTTCATAACGCGCCAAAACACAGACCTCGTTGAGTAGCTAGCTGCTAGCTAGTTAGCTAGAATTGTCTGACAGTGGCTGCAAGCGTTTCACAGAACCCGTTAGAATTAGTAAAAATGTAGCCTGCACAATTCCAAATTAGAACAAATAAGAATATGTTCAAGCTGAATATTTAATTATGTCTCGTTTATTTGTTGCCTTTTAAACCTAACGTAGTTGGCAGCTATTAACTAACTAGCTAGCTAAACATGGTGGCTACAATTACAACATTGCAGGTTGCAGCATATCCTGCAAGCTGTCTTTGGACGATCTGCAGGCTGTCTGCCGCCAGGAAAGGCTCCACTGTAAAGAACTACAGGTGAACAAGCATAACATCGATGACTATGAGGTTGAGTACCTCTGTGACTACAAGAAGTCTAAGGTGAGTGAATGAATTCGCAATGGTACTATGAAGGCTGGGACAAGTCCTCCGTAGAGTTATCTCAAGCATTGCAACTATCAGTTGGTGTGGTTCCTTTAACTTTTGGTTTCATATGGACACTGAGATATGAGATGAGAGATTTGTCAGCAGTTACAGCTAGAGGTGTGTGACCAACTGTTTGCTACTTGGGGGAAGCGGTCAATGCAAAAGCACTTAGAAATGCAATTTGAACCCCCGTCTGGTGGGAATATATTTAACATACATACAGTGAGATCCAAATGATTTGGAATTTTTTTGTTTTGTTTTGGCTCTGTACTGTCTCCAGCACTTTGGATTAGAAAAGAGTGCACACTGTCACTGTCAGCTTTAATTTGAGGGTATTTTGATCCATATCGGGTGACCCATTTTCAAATTACAGCACTTTTTGTACATAGTCCCCCCATTTTAGAAAACATTTACATTTACGTCATTTAGCAGACGCTCTTATCCAGAGCGACTTACAGTTAGTGAATACATATTTTATTTTTTTATACTGGCCCCCCCCCGTGGGAAACGAACCCACAACACTGGCATTGCAAACGCCATGCTCTATCAACTGAGCTACATCCCTGCCGGCCATTCCCTCCCCTACCCTGGACGACGCTGGGCCAATTGTGCGCCGCCCATGAGTCTCCCGGTCGCGGCCGGCTGCGACAGAGCCTGGATTCGAACCAGGATCTAGTGGCACAGTTAGCACTGCGATGCAGTGCCTTAGACCACTGCGCCACTCAGGAGAAAACCAAAAGTGTTTGGACAAATTCACTTGTGTATTAAAGTAGTCAAAAGTTTAGTATTTGGGCCCATATTCTTAGCATGCAATGACTACAACAAGCTTGTGACTCCACAAACTTGTAGGATGCATGTGCAGTTTGTTTTGATTTCAGATTATTTTGTGCCCAATAGAAATGAATGGTAAATATTGTAGTGCCATTTTGGAGTCACTTTTATTGTAAATAAGAATAGAATATGTTTCTGAACACTTCCACATTCATGTGGATGCTACCATGATTACGGATAATCCTGAATGAATTGTGAATAATGAGTGAGAAAGTTGGAGCCACGAAGGTCATACCCCCAAGACATGCTAACCTCTCACAATTACCAATAACAGGAGAGGTTAGCATTTTGGGGGGTATGATATTTATCCCTATAACTTTCTCACTCATCATTATTAACGATTCATTCATTAATGTAGAAGTGTTTTGAAACACACAGTATTCTTATTTACAATAAAAGTGGCTCCAAAATGACACAATACATTATTTACCATTCATTTCTATTAAAGCTGACAGTCCGCACTTTTAACCTCATAGTCATTGTATCTTTTCAAATCCAAAGTGCTGCAGTACAGAGCCAAAACAACAAAAGTGTCACTGTCTAAATACTTTTGGACCTCACTGTAAAATGTACCGTGTTCAATATAATTATTTTGTGGCATGTGTCCTCTTGTCATCTGTCAGGAGCAAGAGTTGTACCTTGTCAAATGGAAGGGATACCCTGAGTCGGCCAACACCTGGGAGCCCCGCAAAAATCTCAAGTGCAAGAAGCTGATGACTCAGTTCCACGAGGACATGGAGCGTGAAATGAGGCGGCAAAAGAGACGGACCACCTGCCCCAAGCGGCTGGACAAGGACGTGGCCTGGATCCTGGTGCAGAAAGCCAAACTCCGCCAGAGGCTCCAGCGCTGGGAGGCCGACCTGAACAAGACGCGCAACCACCCAGGCCGCATCTTTGTCCTGAACGAGGTGGACTTGGATGGCCCGCCCAGGGACTTCACTTACATCAACACCTACAAGGTGGGCGAGGGCATCGTGCTCAATGAGATGGCCGTTGGCTGTGAGTGTAAGGACTGTTTCAGTGATCCGGTCGGAGGCTGCTGCCCCGGGGCCTCCCTTCACCGCCTGGCCTACACTGACAAGGGCCAGGTGCGAGTGCGGGCCGGGGAGCCCATCTACGAGTGTAACACCCGCTGCAGCTGCGGGCCTGACTGCCCCAACCGAGTGGTCCAGAAGGGCATTCCATTCGACCTGTGCATCTTCAAGACTGAGAATGGCCGAGGCTGGGGCGTGCGCGCACTACAGCACATCAAAAAGAACACCTTTGTCATGGAGTACGTTGGAGAGGTAAGTAGTATAAAGTATTTGCCAATACTTTAGGTTAAATGTATTGGCCCATCATGTCAACTGCATTTACCAGGATGAGCTATTCTGTCATGAAAATGTTTACATTGGATTAGAGTAATGGACAAAGAACATTAGACAAATGTTGTATGTGTCTGCGTCAGCGTTTCTAGCCTTACTTTAACAAATACTAGCGCTGTGCTTCTATTCCGGGTGTTTGTGAACAGTTTCTGAAGTGGTGTGTGCGTCTGTCTGTCAGATCATCACATCGGATGAGGCGGAGAAGAGAGGACACCTGTACGACCGGCAGGGCGCCACCTACCTGTTTGACCTGGACTATGTGGAGGACGTTTATACGGTGGATGCCGCTCACCATGGCAACATCTCCCACTTTGTCAACCATAGTGTGAGTGGCACATTATCATATATGTTCACCTTTCAAAAACAAGAGGCATACCTTTCGGTAGTAGTATATTTTGGTATTCTAGGTGCAAGTGAAAGCAGTCGCATCGTAGACACCGCAGAATGGAAGCGGTTCAACCCAAGGATGTTATAGTATTGCACTGTAATATGCTTCCTCAAACAGAACATGAAGTGCACCAAATGTGTTCTCAATTGTATGGAAATCTGAATAGAATAGTGTTTATGAATGTATTATAAGTAGTAGGCTATTCTGAAATCTACCATGAATTGCTGTAGATGTGATTTGACCTTAAAGTATTGACCTTTTAAGTTGTGTCGTCTCTGTTTTGCAGTGCAACCCCAACCTGCAAGTATACAACGTGTTTATAGACAACCTGGATGAGAGGCTCCCGAGGATAGCTTTATTTTCAACACGCCCCATCAGGGCAGGAGAAGAGCTCACTTTTGACTATAAGATGCAAGGTAAGTGTGAAGTCTCACTGCCTAACATGTAGGTCTGTGACGATACTAGTATCGAGATATTTTTTCCATGGCAAAAATGAAAACACTAAGCAGACCAATCGCTTTGGTCCTTTAAAAACCTGCTGTATGTAAAATATAGTATGCTATATCTTGGAAACTAAGTAAATATAACTCTGGATGACCAACATGTTTGTTTCCAACATTAGAGCTGTTTTCCTAAAGAAGGTAACTGCTTCGTGTTTTGTTTACTTGCCACGATACTAATGAGTATTGCAATTCTGGTATTGTCCCAGCTCTACTAGCATGACCACAACATGACAGTTTAAAGGTAGATAATACAGCTACTGTTACTAATATCAACTGAAAGCAACAAGTCACTTGATTTTCCAACAGTTGATCACCATGTGGGTGTTTCTTTTGAGTAACAAGCCCACAGTATGATAGGTAGTGAATTTATCAACACCCAATACAACCTCGGCTGGAAGCTATCGTGAGCCTCTATTGGTAATCGTGCCGCAATATCGCTGGAGTTCAGCTTTCTCAAATTTCTTGCATCGCTCTCATCGCTTTGCACATTTCACCTGGCTCATTGAAAATGAATGGGCTCTGTCATTTTGTCATCACCCATCACTGCTAGTGGGCATTGCAGGTAACTTGCTTGCTACATTGACTAACTATATAGGTGGGAGTGGGCACCAAATGTGTCATTACCTACACTCAGTCCTTTCAGGGCTAGGTAGGCACGTGCAATTGGGAAAACCCAACAGTTTTTTTGTACTACAGTAACACATTGAAATTGTATAACTCAATGGAATCAATGAGCACTGGACATTTCAACATTAAACTTCGTTTAGCTTTTCACTTTTGCTTGGGCAAAACAGTTTTCATATTTGGCTTGTTAAACAGTTTGACAATTATGTGGTGCAGGTGAGCCAACCATAACGCATATCTCAGATGTGTTGTCTTGGCTGAATTTGACTCTTGACATTGTCATTGCAGTTGATCCAGTCGATGCGGAGAGCACAAGGATGGACTCAAATTTCAGTTTAGTGGGACTCCCAAGCTCTCCCAAAAAGCGGATTCGGGTGGAGTGCAGGTGTGGATCTGACACATGTCGAAAGTATCTCTTCTGATATGGATTGTAAACGGAACATCAAAGCTTGAACAGACACTGTGTACTATTTCGGGGAATTATGAAAATTGTACGGCTTTACATGTATTTTTATTTGTCTTTTTTTAATGTTCATTTAACTTTTAAGCCACATTGGTGCATGGGTGATATCAAAACTGATATGGTGCATTTTTGCAACTTTTTTTGCAACTTCATTTTAAATGTCCCCAAACGTATCTAGTGTGTTGGGAAGCCATTTTAGTGAAACAATGGCCAATATGACCTAAATGAACCAGCTTAAACATACATCTTTCTTATCTCATTCTCGTTGGCACCAAAAGTAAAAAAAAAAAAAAGTGTTGATAGGGGACAGAATGCGGTCGGACCATCATATAATAGGCATATACATTACTCTTACTGAATTTCCACGTGGGCGAGGATATTGGAAATTTAATCAACATACATCTTCCACAAATCTGGACTTTTGAATTTCTTCAGAGCTTACATATCTGTAGTACACAGTTGTCAGTCTGTACATTTTCTCAATGTTTGAGAATTCAAAATCTCAACCTATAAATTCAGTGGAACATAGAATCATTGCAAATTCTATATTGCCCAGTCATTTTCACTAGCAGTTCATCCTGTCTCAAGTTCATTGAGCTTCAAGCCTCATTGGTGGAAAGAAATGTCATTGCAAGGTGTAAAAGGTGTACTTTTACACGGATCTGCTTTCAATGGCTGTAGAGAAAATGATTAAGTGCAATTCTTCCCCACTTCTTGCAGATGGTGCTGTATGTTGTCCTGAAACAATGTTTATGAATTTTGTGTACCTCCAAACTGTCCCAGTGCTTTTTGTTTTTGAATCGACCTACTTTTTCTTAAATGTGAATGATTCCCCTCTGACACTCACATTTTGTTGTCCTTCAATTGGTTCTTTGTGAGCTGCAGTATAATTTCACGGCAAGCAACACCATGAAACAGTTCTCCATGGTTTAACCTATTTTTGTGTGAAGCAGATGAGAAATGTCCTTTGTGTAGAAGTTAATATTATTGTTCATGTAGCTATGTGATGGCCAAACAAAACTGTTCTCCTTTTTTTCCCCTTAGTCATTTATATTTAAAGAATGTTTTTTAAAAATTCACATTCATTTTTATCAATGCAAATCTTTTTAAGGTTTACAACCAGCAAAAAAACATTGTAAATAAAAGTTTAAATCTGATTTATTCTTCTTGAAAATATTTTTTAAATTATGCATCACTTAAAAAATTTAATGTAAATGGACCTGATACCAAATTTACAGTTTACAAATAATGTTTCTATTTATTTATTCTTTGTTTTTGTTATTATATATTTTAGTCATTTAGCAGACGCTCTTATCCAGAGCGACTTACAGGAGCAATTAGGGTTAAGTGCCTTGCTCAAGGGCACATGATTTTTCACCTAGTCGGCTCGGGGATTAGAACCAGCGACCTTTCGGTTACTGGCACAATGCTCTTAACCACTAAGCTACCTGCCGCCCATTTGAGTACAACCTCTACACCACTAGATGGTGCAACTGCATTCCTATTACTTCACATCAAATCCCCCAATAAAATGCTGCTTCTGTAGCTACACTGAGTGTACAAAACATTAGGAACAACTTCCTAATATTGAGTTACACCCCCCATTTGCCCTCAGAACAGCCTCAATTCGTCAGGGCATATGTCCCTAACCATATATTGGTACATACTACTCTTTTATTTTATAGAGTCAAGTTTTTAAATGAATGTAGATATTTTAGGTTTTTAAACTCAACATCAAGCAATGGTGATCTCACTGTAAATGTTTTTATTTTTTACATATCTAAAGACCAGTAGCATGGCTTCTATACTGGTGATACCCAACAACTAAAAATGTACACTTTTCTTTTATAGTTGTCCTGACATTAAGTATTTGCAATAGCTCAAACTGCAAAAATATGACATGTCTCTGGGTAGACATTCATTTTGTTCTAGCAACATTTAGACAGCAATACCTGTATTATCTTCCATCCCAGTCTTTCAGTAAAGAGTCCTATGTATGTCACACACGGCACAACATACTCCTCCCTCTCTGTCCTTGTCCCCTCCATTGCCTGTTCTCACCTCCCACTCTAAATGAAATCACCAGGCCACAGCTCCCTCCGCTCAAGGAAATGTACTGGAGCTCTTTTTAGTCATGGCTGCATAGGCAGTAACTGGCATTGGTGAGCACAGCACAGGGCCTTTTCCCTTCCACTCTCACCGTCAATGCAATGGCACCAATACACACCATTTTCTATTGACAGGTTAAGGGTCAGGAGGCTGCTCCCTGTTAGCTATCATGGACTATCATACTATCTCAGTGCTCTGAATCCTCTGGTCAGGCAGTTGGCACTGGTTAGCATTAACTTTACTTAGGAGGGCAGATGACGTCTGCAATAGCACCAGAGCCCAGGGTAGCAGGGGACCCATGGGGGGCTGCGCTAGGCTAGGTGTCTGCTGGGTGAGGGGACATGACTGGGACCCTTATTGATTTGGCTGGATTTATGGAGGATCAGAGATGCTAAGCACAGGCAAAGACACACGAGGCTAAGGAAATGGAGCATAAACCAAAGCACCCAGATTGCCCCAGTCTGGAACGGCCATGTGTGAGAACAGGGATTTGATTATTTGAATGGACTGACGAGAGTTGTTTTTAGGTTGCTCATCAACAATGACAATGTATGAGGATATATGACACACATTATCTATCTTTTTTATACTTTGGATATACAGTGAGGGAAAAAGTATTTGATCCCCTGCTGATTTTGTACGTTTACCCACTGACAAAGACATGATCAGTCTATAATTTTAATGGTAGGTTTATTTGAACAGTGAGAGACAGAATAACACAAAAAAAATCCAGAAAAACGCATGTCAAAAAAGTTATGAATTGATTTGCATTTTAATGAGGGAAATAAGTATTTGACCCCCTCTCAATCAGAAAGATTTCTGGCTCCCAGGTGTCTTTTATACAGGTAACGAGCTGAGATTAGGAGCACACTCTTAAAGGGAGTGCTCCTAATCTCAGTTTGTTACCTGTATAAAAGACACCTGTCCACAGAAGCCATCAATCAATCAGATTCCAAACTCTCCACCATGGCCAAGACCAAAGAGCTCTCCAAGGATGTCAGGGACAAGATTGTAGACCTACACAAGGCTGGAATGGGCTACAAGACCATCGCCAAGCAGCTTGGTGAGAAGGTGACAACAGTTGGTGCGATTATTCGCAAATGGAAGAAACACAAATGACTGTCAATCTCCCTCGGCCTGGGGCTCCATGCAAGATCTCACCTCGTGGAATTGCAATGATCATGAGAAAGAACTACACGGGAGGATCTTGTCAATGATCTCAAGGCAGCTGGGACCATAGTCACCAAGAAAACAATTGGTAACACACTATGCCGTGAAGGACTGAAATCCCGCAGCCCCCGCAAAGTCCCCCTGCTCAAGAAAGCACATATACAGGCCCGTCTGAAGTTTGCCAATGAACATCTGAATGATTCAGAGGAGAACTGGGTGAAAGTGTTGTGGTCAGATTAGACCAAAATCGAGCTCTTTGCCATCAACTCAACTCGCCGTGTTTGGAGGAGGAGGAATACTGCCTATGACCCCAAGAACACCATCCCCACCGTCAAACATGGAGGTGGAAACATTATCGGTGTTTTTCTGCTAAGGGGACAGGACAACTTCACCGCATCAAAGGGACGATGGATGTGGCCATGTACCGTCAAATCTTGGGTGAGAACCTCCTTCCCTCAGCCAGGGCATTGAAAATGGGTCGTGGATACAGTGAGGGAAAAAAGTATTTGATCCCCTGCTGATTTTGTACGTTTGCCCACTGACAAAGACATGATCAGTCTATAATTTTAATGGTAGGTTTATTTGAACAGAATAACAACAACAAAAATCCAGAAAAACGCATGTCAAAAATGTTATAAATTGATTTGCATTTTAATGAGGGAAATAAGTATTTGACCCCTCTGCAAAACATGACTTAGTCCTTGGTGGCAAAACCCTTGTTGGCAATCACAGAGGTCAGATGTTTCTTGTAGTTGGCCACCAGGTTTGCACACATCTCAGGAGGGATTTTGTTCCACTCCTCTTTGCAGATCTTCTCCAAGTCATTAAGGTTTCGAGGCTGACGTTTGGCAACTCGAACCTTCAGCTCCCTCCACAGATTTTCTATGGGATTAAGGTCTGGAGACTGGCTAGGCCACTCCAGGACATTAATGTGCTTCTTCTTGAGCCGCTCCTTTGTTGCCTTGGCCATGTGTTTTGGGTCATTGTCATGCTGGAACACCCATCCACGACCCATTTTCAATGCCCTGGCTGAGGGAAGGAGGTTCACACCCAAGAAGTGACGGTACATGGCCCCGTCCATCGTCCTTTTGATGCAGTGAAGTTGTCCTGTCTCCTTAGCAGAAAAACACCCCCAAAGCATAATGTTTTCACCTCCATGTTTGACGTTGGGGATGGTGTTCTTGGGGTCATAGGCAGCATTCCTCCTCCTCCTGACCTCATACTTTTGGGGCGGGGTTATGTCCTCTTTCTGTTGCGTGGGCTTAAAACCATTATGAGTGCAATACACAAAATAAATGTTAGCAATAATACCCAAGGTGAGGAGCAACATACTCTAGCTGAGAATGTGATATGACCGGAATCAACATTAAAATGAATGTGACGTTTGTCTTGACGACTGGTTGTAAATTTGGGTGTCTTGTGTTTAAATTCACGGCATGGAATAAAATGTTTACTTGCTCCTAACTTTTACATCTTGTGTCCATATCTGCACATAAGGAATGTGTTACATTTAGTCATTGCAATCTGTCAATAGTTTCAAAGGAAATTTATTTTTCATTACAAAAACCAACAACAAAAATCATAAATGGCCAGAGACATGCTTAACAGCTCAACCATTTTCTTTTTAAATAATACAGAAAATAAATGTAAAC